AATACCTTAAAACAGTTCTCTAGAAACTTCAGGCTATTATGAGTAACTATGAAGCTCTTATTCAATGTTTCAAATTCCATCTCAAAAATCAGCTCCTTTCTGAAGCCGTTTCTCATATTCCCTACCACTTCAAACTCCTGGCAGAAGTAGACACCTCATTCTGTATTCCTTGGCATCCCCCTACCATTCGAAGATTAAAGTGTGTACCAGTTAAACTGAGTATTTTCAACACATATTAGGATGTCTAGCTAACAGTATTATAGTGACTAGTGAATAAACAATCCATTACTGATTAATATGTATGAATTAATTACCAGACTCAGTGAATTGATTCTGCTTGTTTTTCTGTTTTTGTTTTTTGAGAGGGAGTCTCACTCTGTAGCCAGGCTGGAGTGCAGTGGCGCGATCTCGGCTCACTGCAATCTCTGCCTTCCAGGTTCAAGCGTTTCTCCTGCCTCAGCCTCCTGAGTAGCTGGGACTACAGGTGTGCCACCACGCCCAGCTAATTTTCTATTTTTAGTAGACACGGGGTTTCACCATGTTGGCCATGATGTTTTCAATCTCTTGACCTCATGATCCACCCCCCTTAGCCTCCCAAAGAGCTGGGATTATAGACGTGAACCACCATGCCCACCTCTGCTTGTTTTTGAAGGGGGAAAAACGTGTGCATTTTCTTTTTTTCTTTTGAGTTGGGAGTCTCACTCTGTGGCCCAGGCTGAAGTGCAGTGGTGCAATCTTGGCTCACTGCAACCTCCACCTCTTGGGTTCAAACAATTCTCTGCCTCAGCCTTCCTAGCAGCTGGGATTACAGGCATCTGCCACCACGTCTGGCAAATTTTTGTATTTTTAGTAGAGAAGGGGTTTCACCATGCTGACCAGGCTGATCTTAAACTCCTGACCTCGTGATCCACCCACCTCTGCCTCCCAAAGTGCTGGGATTACTGGCGTGAGCCACTGCACCTGTCCCAGGGTGTGCATTTTCTTAATATATATGTATAAAATGTTGAAGTTCAGAATACGCTTTTTAACCCACTTCTAACCCAGGAACTTAGGAGATGGGTTGGGCCTGTGTCACAAGAACAACAGGAACTGAGTAGTAAGTAAAACATAAAGTTAAATTAGACCCAAGACAGCCAGGCATGGTGGCTCATGCCTGTAATCTCAATACCTTAGGAGGCCAAGATGGGAGGATGGCTTGAGCCCAGGAGTTCAAGACCAGCCTGGGCAACAAAGTGAGACTCTGTCTCCACAAATGATACATTTAAAAATTAGCCAGACATGGTGGTGCACACCTGTAGTCCCAGCTTAGGAGGCTGAGTTAGAGAATCACTTGAGCCTGAGACATCAAGGCTGCAGTGAGCCATGATTGTGCCACTGCACTCCAGTCTGGGGAGAGCAAGACCCTTTCTCAAAAAAAAAAAAAAAAAAAAAAAGCGTAGGATACATAATATGGATGAAACTCACAAAGTTGAACACAAGAAGCCAGACACAAAATAATGCATATGGTCTGATTCCATTTATATAAAGTACAAAGACCAGCAAAACCCATCTAAGGAGTTAGAAGATAGGATAATGGTTATCCTGGCCTGTGGGGAGTGGGGGGCAGTGGTAACAACTGAAAGGAATAACTAAAAGGGGGCACTAAGGGGCTTCCAAGGACTGATGATGTCCTGTTTCTTCAACTGGGCACGCTTTATACATTACTGTCTTTATATACACTGTATATAGGTGTGTTCAGTGTGAAAACTCAGCTATACAGTCATGATTTGTGCTCCTATCTATATATATTGTGTATATGTATGGGTGTGTGTATATATAATACATATTTATATACACACAAGTCATTACATATAATTAAAAGTTTAAAAATTAACCTAGACCAAGAGGAAAGCTTAAAACCAGTTGAATTCTTAGCACAATGCAGAAATTTTCCATTGAAAAGAAAAAAATATTGTTATAAATAGAAGCATCATTCAAGGTCACACATAAAATCTGGACCAAAGTCTAAGTTCTAATGGGCAATGAGCAGGGTTTCCAGAGAGCAAGCATTAAATACTGTCTACCCAGGATGACAGCAGATGTTCTCATGGTGTTCACAGGTAGGGAAGTGGGCCCGGATAACCCTTCCCATCGTTGACAAATTCTACCAAATGAAGACATTCTGCTTCAAGTTTTTACTGATTTTATTTTAATTATAATATCCTATATTTGCCAACAATGTTCAACTCACCTTTTTAAATTAAATATGCTTTCAAATCTTAATAATTCCTGAATATGGTGAGGTTTAAGCAAAAACAAAGATTCAACTTCTAAATTTTGTAACTTTTTAATTAAAATTTAAGACATCACAGGCCTTGTGATGCAAATCGCTAACGCCTGTATTATACTACATGAAATTCCTCCATGGCCTGGCAGGCATTCTAGCCCTCTACCTACTTCACAGATGAGGAAATTGTCATTTCCAGTTTTATTAACCACTGTATTCTGGGAGCCCAGGCCCCTGCCTGTCGAGCAGTAAGCACTCAACAAACGTGCACGAAATGAACGAAGGAGGCTTGGAGAGGTTGTGTAAATTGCCCAGGTCACCCACCCTTCCTGGATGGCCCCGGCCCTCTTTAAAAATCAATCCAACAGGAAGGCGACCAGCGGAACTGGGTGATGATCCTGAAGTGAGCCACACGAGATGTGGCCCAGACTTCCGCATGCAGCCTGCCCTCGGGTCTCCTGGAGTCTCCCCAGGTCGGGCGCCTCAGCTTTGGTGAGAGTCACACGCGACACACCCTCTTACTCAGAGACGAATCGCTCTGTTGCCTCCCCTCGCTGACCACAGGTGCTCCAGGGCTCTTTCTAAAGGAGACAGCTATTCCAGCCGGGAGGCTGGAGTCTCCCGGCCTGAAGGCCCCGGGGTGTGAGGGATGGGTTTGCCTGGAAGGAGAGGAAGTGGCCGCGCGGCTTTAATCATCGGGGCTAGTCCCCGGCGGGCCTCGGGGGACAGGGAAACTGGAGGCGGCCTTAAAGCGGCGAGATGAGAGGTCGCAAGAGGAGCTGCAGAGTGAGCGTGCGTCCAGCTTCTCGCCGCCAAACCGCCCTTCCGCCACCCTTTGCCCTTAAAAATCTGCAGACTGCGCCTCCTCTCCGAGGGAGCGAGACCTAGCAGGCCCGGGGCTGGGCGTGCCCTCGCCTGCCCCGCCGCGCGCTGCCCTCAGCCGGGCCGCTGGGGGCCGCGCAGGGCGGAGACAGTGCACCTGGCACATTGTGCCCGGCGGGCGGCGGACACCGAGCCTCAGCGGGAGGTCCCGGCGCAGCTTCGCCAGCGCGCCCTGGCTCCAGCCCACCCCTGCTGCAGCCTTGGCTGGGCAGCCGCCGACACTGGACGCCCCCCGCTCCCAACTTCGCCAGCGCCTCCTCCCCGGCTCTGCGCCGGGCGGTTTGTAGGGACTCAGCTCTCCACGTGCAAGTCTGTGAAGCGGCACGCAACAGGCTCCTGGAAAGGAGGTGGGTGCTCCGGTACTAGGGCTGGGGAGCTGGAGGTTCGGAGGCTTTGATGGGCACCAGTAGCTCCTGATCCCCCTACCCCCTTTCTTTCTGCAGCCTCTTGTACTTAAATGGCTGTTGATTGAAAATAATTTCGTCTGGATGTGACCACCTTCTCCTGCCCTATGCATCTGGCCACACGAAACAAACTTTCAGTCCAGCCTTAATGGGAGTAAGGGGCATGCTTATCCACCCAACATCCGCCCCAGGTCCTGCAGAGCTGGCAAAAGACAGGCTGAGTGGCCTTCGGGCACCAAACACCTTCAGATCTTCCAGGGGAAGCGTCGGGGACTGTCTTCCCCTCCTTCTTCTCTTTCCTCCTTCCTGCTCTCCATCCCTCCATCCCTCCTTCCCTGCTTTCCTTTCTTTCTTTGATTTTCTGCGAAGGGCTGTTGAGCTTCACGTCTGCCAGTAGCTTTGCTTCTTGTTTTGGTCTCCTTAGATGCGTTTTCCTGGCTGAAGTTTGCTGCTATCCTTGACAAGTAACAGCTTGCTGCAGACTAGAAGTTCACTCAAAAATGAAGGCGCAGAAAGATAGGAGAGGAATGCGGGAAAACCAGCTTGTCTAACTTTAGCCTGCGTTTTGTCGTAAAGGGAATCAGCATCTACCTATTGCCTAAATGCATAGTGTTTTAATCACCCAGGTTAGGAAAAGAAAAGACCTTATATCGGATTGTCCAGTGAAATAAGCAGTAAGGAATCACCTTTAAAAGTTATTTTCTTTATACACAAAACTTTTTTTTTTTTTTTTTTTTTTTTGAGACGGAGTCTCGCTCTGTCTACAGGCCCCAGGCTGGAGTGCAGTGGCCGGATCCCGGCTCACTGCAACCTCCGCCTCCTGGATTCAAGCAGTTCTCCTGCCTCAGCCTCCAGAGTAGCTGAAACTACAGGCGTGCACCACCATGCCCAGCTAATTTTTGTATTTTTTTAATAGAGACAGGGTTTCACCATGTTGGCCACAATGGTCTTGAACTCCTGACCTTGCGATCCGCCCGCCTCAGCCTCCCAAAGTGCTGGGATTACAGGCGTGAGCCACCACGCCAGGCCCCAAAACATTTTAAATAACTAGACCTCCCAATCATAGAAATTGTAAGGATCTTAAAGTCAAACAGTTCAATGCCAAGTTATGAGGTTGACGATGGGGCATCTTTTTTTGTCTGCTCATTGGGCAAGATTCATGTTGATAGAAATGCTTAGTAAAGGCAACTGAGAATTCAGTTCATGCAGTTTAAGGAGTTTTCTTTCATTTTGGCATTACAACATTATCAGAGTGGTTTCCCAGTGTGGTGGATAAGAGTTTGAAGTTAGAAAGAAAGACCTGGATTTCCATCTGGCTCCAGCATCTCACTTGCTGTGTGACCTCAGACAAGTTGCTTCATCTCTCTGAGCCTGCGTTTACTCATTTCTAAATGAAATTGTTGGGAGGATGAAAAGGGATAATGGAAGACAGGAGTTAACACAGAGCACATCATCCAGTCGGCAGGTGATACAGGATACCTGAAGCCGATGATGACAGAGGCAAGCAGTTAGGCCTAATGCAGTCACTGACTAAACCACTCCCCATGCAGAGGGTTCTGTGTGTGCCTCTGTGCATGGAGAGTAGATGCATTGCATGCTTCTGACTATAAAAACATAAGGAGCTACTTCTGAACTCTTAAATTTGATTCTAATCATAAAATGTGTCCCAAATCTGTTCAGATTTGGAGTATTAAATGTATCTATGTAACATATTTTGAGATTCTCTTATGCTTACAAATGAGGAGTTTCAAGTGAACACACAGAACAGATATGACACTGGTTGTTGAATTATCATTAAAAGTAATGTTCGTCAGATGTTACCGACATTCCTGGCTTAATATTGATCTGAATAGGTTGAAGGGAGGAACTGAGTATGGCCACAAACCAGCAACATCTGGAGCCTGTTAAGAAATGCATGGCCCCACTCAGCAAGGTGGTTCATGCCTGTAATCCCAGCACTGTGGGAGGCAGAGGTGAGCAGTTCACGAGGTCAGGAGATCGAGACCATCCTGGCCAACATGGTGAAACCCCATCTCTACTAAAAATACAAAAATTAGCTGGGCATGGTGGCATCTGCCTGTAATCCCAGCTACTCAGGAGGCTGAGGCAGGAAAATTGCTTAAACCTGGGAGGTGGATGTTGCAGTGAGCTGAGATCACGGGCAACCTCCAGTTTGGGTGACAAAGCAAGACACCGTCTCCAAAAAAAAAAAAGAAAGAAAGAAATGCATGGCCCCTCCCCGGGCCTGCTGATAGAATATGCATTTTAATAGAATCCCTGGGGGATTTGTGTATATCCTCAGTTAGAGGAGCCCTTTCTTAGGAGTTTGAGTGCACTGATGTTTCTCAAAAATAGGCCTTATGAAAACAGATTTCTCATAAGCTGGCTTTACATGGTAAAGTGAAAAAGACTCATTATCATTTAAATGATGTTTACTTTAAATGTTTAAAACAGCCAAGGACTGTAGCATTATTTATTTCTGTTTAAAAGTAAGAGAGAACTGACACCTCACGTTTTGTTTAAGTTCTGCCGATTTTGGATTCCAGTGTTCCTGTTACCCTCCAAAACGTTTCAGTTGTGAATGTTCTCTCTTGCTAGCTTCTCCAGTTAGGGGAAAACTATGGGTTTGAAGTTCACACCCCCATCTGTACCTTGAAGAGCGAGCTTTTTATATCTGTTACTCCTGTTTTTAAGTCTTTTGCCAAAGATGTATCCAAAAACTTAATTGGTGCATTTATATAATCTATTTTTACATGATATAAAACAATAATAAGTAAATCAAATACATGGCAATAATTATTAATAACCCATATCTTTATATGCACTTAAGGTAAAACTATGTATTACAATGACAGAAATAGGATTTTGGCTTTTTAAATTTTTTGAGCTTTATTATAAAATATAAATTTTTGTAGGAGGAATGTAATAATATACATTAAAGATATTAGAGATAAGAGATTTTAATGACATCCCTTAAGCGTCAACTTTATTGAAGTATAATTTGCATACAACAAAATGTATTCAATGGTAGTATATTTTAAATCTGTGCATTTTACTACATGCAAATTATACCTTAATAAAATTGATTTTTTAAAAAGGTAACATGGAAGATTGCCTATTGCCAGGTAGCTGAGAGAAGGTCAAAAGAAGTCAATAGAGAGAGGAAATGAAGATCGAAGCATTGAGTGGACGAAGAAAATACAGAGCCAAATGGTCTTGGATGAGTGGGTGAATGAAAAATGAAGTACATAAATTTAGACAGTTTGAGACCATTTTTATAAAATTTTTTGTTTTTAAAGTTAAGATGCTGAATTTAATATCTGGAGTATCAGAAACTTTGCAGAGTTTTTTGAAGAGGAGGTTAAAATGAAAAACGAAACGAAAAACAGAAATTTTGCTCTGCAAGTCTCCTGGCACGTCCCGTTTCCTTCCCACATTCCAATCTATGTCTGCCTTTGTGTTCAGAAGACACCAGCATTTGCCACAATGCTGTCATCCACTGACTTTACATCTGCCTCCTGGGAGCTTGTGGTTCGCGTTGATAATCCCAGTGAAGAAGAGCAGAAAGATGTCACACTGCGAGTGTCTGGAGACCTTCATGTCGGGGGAGTGATGCTCAAGTTAGTAGAACAGATCAGTAAGTTACTCCTGCTTTATGGTTTCTCTGCATTTGAAACCCTCTCTGTTGCATCGCTGCTAATGGCTGGTCTAGGTTTTTCTGATCATCTATCTTGTAGTGGCCTGGGGAGCAATCCCCCACCCCCCATCCCAGAGGAAAGAGAAATAGAGAGCCCAGGCTGGGTGCTGTGGCTCACACTTGTAATCCCAGCACTTTGGGAGGCCAAGGTGGGCAGATCACCTGAGGTCAGGAGTTAGAGAACAGCCTGACCAACATGGCGAAACCCCATCTCTACTAAAAATATAAAAATTAGCCAAGCATGGTGGTAGGCACCTGTAATCCCAGGTACTCAGAAGCCTGAGGCAAGAGAATCATTTGAACCCAGGAGGTGAAGGTTGCAGTGAGCCAAGATTGTGCCGCTGCACTCCAGCCTGTGCAAAAGAGCAAGACTCAGTCTCAAAGAAAAAAATACAAAAACTTGAGTCTTTGGTGCCAAGTAAAGTTCCCAGCAGGTATAATGCTGGACTTCAGCAGGGATGGAACCCATTCCACTAGTGACATCTAATGTGGCTTTAGGTAGCTTGGCATTTGAATGCTGTGTTAATTCTCTGTTTATACTTGATAGCTTAGTGATAAATTGGTGCTGCAATGTCTTTTAACACTTATCCACCACTTACTACTCTCCCTGTTTAAGGAAAGAAATCTTCAGTGTTCCATTCTTCACATCAGGAGTCAACATTGTCAACCTAGAATTTAATAACATTCTCTTTTCATTGTGCTTATTTTACCTTCTATTTAAGGCCTTGGAGGCTGGCTTTTCATTTACTCTAGCAAGATAGCTTTTTTTTTTTTTAAGTAAGTCCTTATTGACATATAATATACATACAGAAAAGTTCACTTATTATAAACAAGGGTTCATTTATCTTAAACAGTTCAATGAATGTTCTCTAAGTCTTGTAACCACTCAGATCAAGAAATAGAACATCACCTGTTCCCCACCCCAGCTCCATACCTTGACCTCTCCCAGTCACTGTCGCCAAGGGTAACCACTATCCTGACCAATAACACCGCAGGAATAATATGCCTTATTTTGAACTTTATACAAATGAGATTATAAAAGATATACTCTTATACATTGACTTTCTTTCACTCAAAATTATGTCTGTGACAGTTATCCCTATTGTTGCCTATTGTTTTGGTTCATTTTATTGCTGTACAAGATTCCATTGTATGAATATGCCACAATTATTTATCCATTTACCTCTTAATGGACATTTGGATTGTTTCCATTCTCGTGCACTTACAGAAAAAGCTGCTATAACACCTGTCTTTCAGCGATCATTTCTGTTGGGTGGTATAGCTCAAATTAAAAAATGATGATTCATAAGGTTTTCCAAAATACTTGTGCCAGTTTATGCTTCTACTAACAGCATTAAGAGGAGAGTTTTCTGGTTGGGTGCGGTGGCTCACATCTGTAATCCCAGCACTTTGGGAGGTCGAGGCGGGTGGATCACGAGGTCAGGAGTTCAAGACCAGCTTGGCCAACATAGTGAAAACCTGTCTCTACTAAACATACAAAAATTAGCCTGGCATGGTGGCACACACTTGTAGTCTCAGCTACTCATGAGGCTGAAGCAGGAGAATTGCTTGAACCTAGGAGGCGGAGGTTGCGGTGGGCTGAGATTGCACCACTGCACCACTGCACTCCAGCCTGGGCAACAGAGCAGGACCCTGCCTCGAAAAAAAAAGAGAGAGGGAGAGAAACATTTAAAGAAAAATAAGAAAACAAAGATACAGATAGCTCTTCATTTTGCAAAATAAAAGATTGAAAATTGACTCCAACATTGATGAAGGGAAAAGATTGTATTTTAATGCCAACGTTAAGGGAGAGAAAAGATTTGACATTAATGCTAACATTGACAGGGAGAAAAGATGTTAACTCTGACTTCAGTTTAAACACTTTGGATATGGTGGTACTGATAAAGAGGTGGACATTACTAAGAAGAATGAAATGTCAGTTGTACAGTACTTCTGTGTGGTCTTCAGGGCCTATTGATACTCCCTTGTGACACAGTGGTGTAAGGATACATTTCTGTAAGAGAAATAATCTTGATTAAACACAGTCAGGTGCTGTTGGCCTTCTGAGAAAGGGCCCTGGCACAGAGAGATGTTAGCAGGGAACTTTAGGTTCATTGTGAACACATTTTTATATTTCTTTTCCTCCACAGTATTTAAACATAAATGATGGTAAGGTTCAGTCCCTATTACTTCCCTGGAGACTTTGGAAAGAAGCCAAGGGTTATTGAGCCTGGAATTGTAAAAGGCGATGGGGAGCTGAAGATCAGTTTTGGTTTCTGTTTTTTGCACACGATGAAATTGACTCTGCAGCTCCAGGACCCTCCATGCTGGGCTCTCTCTCATTTTACTTAATTGCGTTTTCATTTTTGCAGACATATCCCAAGACTGGTCAGACTTTGCTCTTTGGTGGGAACAGAAGCGTTTCTGGCTTCTGAAAACCCACTGGACCCTGGACAAATATGGGGTCCAGGCAGATGCAAAGCTTCTCTTCACCCCTCAGCATAAAATGCTGCGCCTTCGCCTGCCAAATTTGAAGATGGTGAGGTTGCGAGTCAGCTTCTCAGCCGTGGTTTTTAAAGCTGTCAGTGATATCTGCAAAACCCTGAGTGAGTATCCTGGAAGGGCCCCTGTGCCCTTTAGACTCTTGCAAAGGAGGATGGGAAAATTATGTGTGCATTCTGCCTACTTTAAGCAATGGACTAGAGAACATTCACCTATTAGGAAGCACACGTTTAAGCCCGGTTCTGGATATTGCAGCCATTTAAGTGTAGTTAAGCCCAGTGGAACATTACTGGCATAAATCAGGTACATCTCCACAAAACTTAAAACTATTCCAGACCAGGTGCAGTGGTTCATGCCTGTAATCTCAGCACTTTGGGAGGACAAGACAGGCAGATCATGAGGTCAAGAGATCGAGACCATCCTGGCCAACATGGTGAAAATCCATCTCTACTAAAAATACAAAACTTAGCTGGGCATGGTAACGCATGCTTATAGTCCCAGATACTTGGAAGGTGGAGGCAGGAGAATTGCTTTAACCCAGGAGATAGAGGTTACAGTGAGCCGAGATCGTGCCATTGTACCCTAGGCTGGGCAACAAAGAGAGACTCTGTCTCAAAAAAAAAAAAAAAAAAAAAAAAAAACTATTCCACAAGAGATTTGTAAATAGACAAGATAAATCATTAAGATTGCCCCCACAAATTTATTTATCCAAGCTATACTCAAACATTATTATACAGTATTTAAGATAAAAAAAAAGAATTGTATTAAATACTTAATCACCATAAAGCTATGTATCTTAATTGTTTTTGAGATAATTGTGTTGCAAAGTCTTAATTGCTTCATTAAGAACTGGCTCAAGTAAATAACTGTTCACAAAAATCACTTATGAAGTGATTAAGCATAAAAGTATACTTAATTGTAAATTTAAACCTAATTACTTATAGATTTGGTATCCTATAATTTACAGTCTTAAAGACAACACTACCCAAACCATTCTTTTCTTTATAAAACTCCATAAAGGGAAAGACACACCATGAAGGTATTCTCATTTTATATTTTTTGAAAGTATTATAATCATTGATTCCAAAACCAAAAGTCAACATCTGAACCCAGAATAGATAATATGTAGTGAGTAATCTATTTTTTCCATTAAACCATAAACTACTTTATTCACTCATTCAGCAAATATTTATTGAGCACCTACTGTTTCCCAGGCATTGTGGTGAAAGCCAGGGATACACTAGTGATACAGAGCTAAAATCCCTGCCCACCTGGAGCTTGCATTTTAGCAGGCAGAGGCAGACACTAACCAATAAATGTAAATGTAACAAATTTTAAAATATAAATGTAACAAATAAAAAAAGAATGTAAGAGGTTAAAATGGGATGGATAGTACTTAAAAAAAGAGAAAACCTATCAGCAGGATTGGAAATGCCAGGGTTGGGCAGTGGGGGCTGGTATGGTATATGAAATGGAGTGAGGGCAGAAACCGTTTCCTGAACATCTCTGCATTCCTCACTCCAGTCACAATGCTCAGCACACAATAACTATTGAGTGAACAAATGAACAGAACGTTTCATTACAGAATGTAAGTTGCAGTCTTGTCCATGGTGTGCAAATGGCAAGCATGAGGACACCTTATTTTTTGGCAATATTCTAATGAAGATTTGAAAACAAAGTAGATGATTAAATAAAATAGTATATTCTACATACCACAGTAGAATAGAAGCACACATCATAGTTGAGGCCAAAAACTTAAAGCTTTCAAATAAACAGAAGCAGTCAGTTGTTCTCTTTTCCTGATTATCTCTTTGTGGTAGTTTTAAAGGCTCACTTGGTGTTTCTAATCATTGCATTTTATACCTTAACAATTGAAGTGAAATAAAATTCAGCAGTTTAGTGGTTTTTTTCTATTCTTGAAGAATAGAAAAGATGCAAATATTGGCCTTGAAGATACAGGTGTTTCTGTTTCGTTGTTTTGCTTTTAGTGCTCACAGGGGAATTTTTTATTCATGACCGGGTTTTGTGAATAAATTATGCATTTGGAATGGTCACAGGTGTGTTGCAACCTGACAGTCTTTGGCTGCTGGGGAGAGTCAAGCTAAATTGCTAGGCTCAGTTTCAACACTGAGCAGTGTATGAATTAAATGATGAGAGAACCTAATGGAATCAGTGCACTTACCTTCAACAAAGCTGACCAGAGACTAAAAGTCCACATTAATTAGCTTTTACCTGGAATGATAGCCACTAGTGTAATTAAAGGTTATCAGCAATTCTAATCAACAATTATAAACATATTTGATTAATGGGGGAAATGGAGATTATCAAAGTTTCAGCTCCCAGAAGCAGACCCTGAGATAAGGATTCAAATACAAATAGTTTATTTAGGAGTTGATGCCAGGAAATACTGCTGGTACAGGGAAGTAAGACAGAAAAGAAGAGTGTCACCAACCAAGTTACACTTCAGCAGCTGGTGACTTCTGGGAGAGAGTGTAGACACAGCCTCAGGGTAAGGATGTTTATGCAGCACTGTGGACAATCACTGAAGGCCACTCTTGAGGAGCATTCATTCCCTGAATGTGTGGGCTGTTGCATGTGTAGGTAGGCAGTGCAGACCCTGGCCAGCTGTTGGAGCAAAGCCTCTGGCAGAAAGACACATGGTCTAGATTCCACCCGCAGCCAGGTGAGGACCAGGAAGATATGGGCAGGGCATGAGGACATCGCCACAGGGATGGAATGAGTTGATGGGCAGTGCATAAAGGAAAGACTTTCAAGATCTGTGGTCTATAAAGAAAAAGGAAGCAGGACCTTTGTTGGTTGTTTAAAAAACTGGAAAAAGGAAAGGGAGAGGGAGCAAGGAAGAGAAACGTATTAGTTCATTTTCATGCTGCTGATAAAGACATACCCAAGACTGGATAATTTACAAAAGAAACAGGTTTAATGGACTTACATTTCCACGTGGCCGGGGAGGCCTCACAATCATGGCAGAAGGCGAGGAGGAGCAAGTCATGTCTTACATGGATGGCAGCAGGCAGAGAGAGGTTGTGCAGGGAAACTCCTTATAAAACCATCAGATCAGCCAGGCATGGTGGCTCATACCTGTAATACCAGCACTTTGGGAGGCCGAGGTGGGCAGATCACAAGGTCAGGAGTTTGAGACCAGCCTGGCCAACATGATGAAACCCTGTCTCTACTAAAAATGCAAAAATTAGCCAGGCATGGTGGTGGGAACCTGTAATCTCAGTTACTTGGGAGGCTGAGGCAGGAGAATTGCTTGAAATTGGAAGACGGAGGTTGCAGTGAACCAAAATCATCCTACTGCACTCCAGCCTGGTAAACAAGAGCAACACTCTGTCTCAAAAAAAAAAAATCAGATCTTGTGAGACTTAATCACTATCAAGAGAACAGCACAGGAAAGACCCACCCCCATGATTCAATTACTTCCCACTGGGTCCCTCCCTCAACACGTGGGAATCCAAGATGAGACTTGGGTGGAGACACAGCCAAACCATATCAGGAAGAAAGGCGAGAAAGAGGTAAAGTTGGTGGTAAATAGGTAATGAGAATAGCATAATGCCAATAACGGCTGAAGCTGAGCAGGGAGCACATGAAGGGGACATTATACCATTCCCTTTGCCTTGGATACATTTGAAATACTTTTACAATAAATTTTTTTAACTAGAAATTTCACTAGACTGAATCTCCCTCCACTATTTTCTCCCCCAACCTACTTTGGAGGTCTTGGTTCCCCTTTCCCCTTGTATTTCTTCAAAAGGGATGCAGTTTAGTCCCATTTACTTTTCAGAAATTTCCTATGATTTCAAATGCACAAAATGACTCTGAGTCTAGAAGGATTTTTCTTTTTACTTTCTCTTTTTCTTCATTTTTAAAAAAATTTTATTTCCAGATATTAGAAGATCAGAAGAGCTTTCCTTGTTAAAGCCTTCTGGTGACTATTTTAAGAAGAAGAAGAAAAAAGACAAAAATAATAAGGAACCTGTAATTGAAGATATTCTAAACCTAGAGAGTTCTCCAACAGCTTCTGGTTCACCAGGTAAGATTTGTGACAGGTGTTTTGTTGTTTGAATGTAGAATAAAATTCAAGAGGATAATACACCTCTCCTCCCACCCCTTCCAAACAAAGGAGAAATTAAATTGCAGAACTGATGTGGTAGGAAAGGCTATCTAGTTGTTTAGAATTAACGGAAATGTGTTTCAGGCTCTTTTTTTTCAACAAGCATGCTTAATAACTCATTATTTGAATTGTACATCTCATGTTGCTGAGGAATGCAAAATTTTAGTACCACTGACCACAAATTTGGGATAAAGAGTGATATTTAGAGAAAAGATAAGTGGCTGGGCGTGGTGGCAGGTGCCTGTAATCCCAGCTACTCTGGAGGCTGAGGCAGGAGAATCACTTGAACCCAGGAGGTGGATGCACTCCAGCCTGGGCAACAAATAAGACTCGTTCTCAAAAAAAAAAAAAAAAAGAAAGAAAGAAAGAAAATAGATGGTCCCCAATGTTTGTCTGTGTTGATTTTGGGAGGCTTATTTGAGTTCCAAGGCTTTTGATGAGCTGAATGTACAGATAAGACTATTACTTGTCTATTACTAATCTCTCTACCATCATGATCCATATTATTATTTTGTGTGTGTGTGTGTTTGTGTGGTTTTGAGATGGAGTTTCACTCTTGTTGCCCAAGCTGGAGTACAATGGCATGATCTCGGCTCACCACAACCTCCACCTTCCTGAGTTCAAGCGATTTTCCTGCCTTAGTCTCCCGAGTAGCTGGGATTACAGGCATGTGCCACCACGCCTGGCTAATTTTGTATTTTTAGTAGAGACAGGGTTTCTCCATGTTGGTCAGGCTAGCCTTGAACTCCTGACTTCAGGTGATCCACCTGCCTCAGTCTCCCAAAGTGCTAGATTACAGGCATGAGCCACCGTGCCCGGCCTTTTTTTTTTGTTTTTTGAGGTGAAGTCTTGGTATGTTTCCCTGGCTGGTCTCAAACTCCTAGGCTCAAGCAATCCTCCAACCTTAGCCTCCCAAGTAGCTAGGATTATAGACGTGGGCCACAGTGCCCAGCTTGACTTGTATTATTTTAAATGGTGCCAACATTTAAAGTTAAAACTCATTTTAGTGTAAGTAATGTTAATATTTTCCTGAAGATTTCTATCCCTGGATTCTCATATCATAGTTCATGCTCCCCTTGCCTTGCAGCAAGTCCTGGTTTATACAGTAAAACCATGACCCCCATATATGACCCCATCAGTGGAACACCAGCATCATCCACCATGACTTGGTTCAGTGACAGCCCTTTGACGGAGCAAAACTGCAGCATCCTGGCATTCAGCCAACCCCCCCAGTCCCCAGAAGCACTTGCGGATATGTACCAGCCTCGGTCTCTGATTGATAAAGCCAAGCTCAATGCAGGGTAAGGACACGGCTCCTTTGACTTCTCCCTGAGCTAGTGCCGACATAGTAAGAGTAGGGGCATGTTTCATTTTCAAGTTGGTAGGCCTAGGGATTGTACTTTATTTGCAAAAGTCAGTGCTGATTTTAGTATCAAAGGGGAAAAATTCAGTCTTTGGTCATTTCAGTATATTTAACGTGTGTCTAAACCCAGGTTTGGGTAACACAATAGATTTACTATCTGTGAATACCAATTCTTTGCCACTGCAGATATGGAAAGCATATTTTATGGGATGTAGGGGAGCTAATAAGTGTGTTGTCCCCAGGGGTCAGTGGGGGAGATCCCAGGTGGCCCACCAGGCTTACACTGTCTTTTGTAGAATCCCACTCTTCTTTTTAGGCATTCTAATGAGCAAGTCCTTGAGCTCTGTTTGAAATGGTCTCAGAAAATATACCCAGACTATTTCTGAAGCTACCATTTCCGTTGTTCCCTATTACCTACCAGGTAAAGTCAAACTTGTCAACAGCATTCAACTCCCTAGAAGAGCTGGCCCCAGCAAGTGTCTCCACATCCTCCTGCGCTCTTACCACCCCATGCCACCAGGTGCACACTCACTCTTTCTGTCACTATGTCCCCTGCAGGACCAGTCCCTTTGTGGGAAGTAGAAAAATTCCTCTTCAAAGTTTCCTTTCGTGTTTAAAAAAAAAAATGTACAAGTGTTAAGAATAAGAGTTTGTTTTAAACACTTTCTTCAAAATCCTTCTTGCTTTTTGCTAAAAGCCCTGTCCTATGTAGCGTTAGACATGCTTACAGGCACGTAGTACATTCTATGTCCTTGTATGTCTGAAATGTCTGTGCTGGATGTGCTCATAGGCATGTCCCAGCCTGCAGCCTCTGCCCCTTCCTTATTTGGATTTCCTTTTTTTGCTTTCCATTGCTTTTACCTGTTTAAAAAAGTTTCAAGCTATTAGCCAATCAAGTTTTAAATTGTGAGGTCTGGCTCCAGCCAATGGAAATCAAACACAGCAGTAAAAGCAACCCCAAATGCGTAAAAAATAAATATGTCTGCTTTCCTTTGTTCGTTGTACCCTTGTGACAAAATTGCTAACAGGAGTACCCTTTCTGCGGGAAGTAAAAAAAAAAAATGCTTTGCTAAAAAATCCTTGGTGCCAATACTAATTTTTCTCCACGGCACCAAAAAGAAAAATTTTACACATAACACCCCTTTACCAAGTGGTCAGTCCCTGCCTGTCCTTTAAGGCCCAGCCACATGCTGTCTCCTGCTCAAGGATGACCTTCAAGATCACCCTCCTCCTTTCCTGACACGTTGCTCACTCTAACGTCACAATGTCCCTTTGTTATGAGGCTTGGTCTCCCCCAGCAGACTGTCAACTCCTTTAGGATGGTGATTTCATGTTGGTCATCCTCTTTGCCCACCAGGGCCTAACATAACAGAAGTTCAAGTCATTGTTATTCAGTGGTATTGAATGACACTCATTCCCCTCTTATTTTGTTAACTTTTAATCTCCATTCCTCCACCCCTCACCATTTCCCAATTTTTATTTCTCAACTCTAGAACTCCACCTTGTATTGTAGTACAGGAACCCCTAGCCACATGCGGATATTTAAATGTGGATTGGATTTTTAATTAATTAAAATTAAAATGAGGCACTAACAGCCACATTCAGCTGAGGCTAATGCATCGAACAGCACAGATACAAGTATTTCTCTCATTGCAGAAAGTTCTAGACAGTAACACAGAGCTGGCATTGGGGCAAACCATCTGGTAAAAGGAGAAGTGGTGTGGGCACTCAGGACATATGGATTCTCAAGCTGGCCCCATAACCAGGCCTGTGCATTTTTTTTTTTTTTTTTTTTTTTTTTTTTGAGACACTGTCGTCCAGGCTGGAGTGCAATGGCACAATCTTGGCTCACTGCAACCTCCACCTCCTGAGTTCCAGTGATTCTCCTGCCTGCCTCAGCCTCCCAAGTAGCTGAGATTACAGGCAGTTGCCACATGCCTGGCTGATTTTTGCATTTTTAGTAGAGATAGGGTTTCAGCACGTTGCCCAGGCTGGTCTTGAACTCCTGACCTCAGGTGATTTGCCCGCCTTGGCCTCCCAAAGCACTGGGATTACAGGCGTGAGCCACCACACCCGGCCAAGGCCTGTGACCTTTAAGAATGATCTAATGTCATTCAGACTGTGTCTCTTCGTCTACAAAGATGAGATAATGGGAACTGCCCTGGCCTCTTTATTGGATTACTTTAGAGTACCCATGAGAAAAAAAATCTATAAAGCACTTTCAAAACTATAAGATAAAATGCAAATATAAGCTATTATTATAGGCTTACTGGTTTTTGGTTATACAGGTTAAGTACCCCTTATCCAAAATGCTTGAGACCAGAAGTGTTTTGGATTTGGGAATTTTTTTTTTACATTTTTTCAGAATTTGGAGATATTTGCATTATACTCACCACTGAGCATCCGCAATCCAAAATTCTGAAATTCAAAATGCTTCAGCGAGGCTGGACGCAATGACCCAGCCTATAATCCCAGCACTTTGGGAGGCCAAGGCAGGCAGATCACCTGAAGTCAGGAGTTCAAGACTAGCCTTGACTAGCCATCATGGAGAAACCCCCTCTGTACTAAAAATGCAAAACTTAGCTGGGCATGGTGGCACACATCTGTAGTCCCAGCTACTCAAGAAGCTGAGGCAGGAGAATCACTTAAACCCGGAAGGCGGAGGCTGCAGTGAACCAACATCACACTACTGCACTCCGGCCTGGGTGACAGAGCAAGACTACGGCTCAAAAAAAAAAAAGAAAAGAAAAAGAAAAAACCGCTTCGGTGAGCATTTCTTTTGAGCATCAGGTCAGTGCTCAGAAAGTGTCAGATTTTGGAGCATTTCAGGTTTTCAAATTAGGGCTACTCAATCTGAATGACCCTGATTTTGTTTAAGGATATATATGTAATATATAATATGTAACATAATAATATAATGGATAGATGTAAAATTGATTGGCTTCTAAAACTCACACTATTGTTTTCTAGTTGGCTGGACTCCTCACGCTCCCTTATGGAACAAGGCATCCACGAGGATGAGCAGCTGCTGTTACGATTTAAATACTACTCTTTCTTCGACTTGAATCCTAAAGTAAGAAACTTTTTCTCTGTTCCCTTTGTCTTTTTAATATGAATGCATGGAAGTATCAAGTTGAGGCATTTGGTTATGAACATGAGGATGAATTTATTTGTGTGATCGCCTGTTTAGCCCTGTTGGGTGAGAGTGATACATGGACCCTGGTCTGTGAATTTTTATCCTTTGGTTTCTACTGAGCACGGTAAGCTGCTACCGAGTTAGCTGGAGTCTCTAGGGATCTTAGTGCCTAGCATGGCCACGCACCGCCCCTCCCCATTCGCAGGAATGGTCAAACAAGGCAAGAGCGGCTCACAGAGCTGGAGTTCTTAATGCTGAGGAAGGAAAGGAGTTGTCAGAGGTCAGGGTTAAAGGCAGCTTCCCGTGAACAAGCTAGGACCACATGATGGTACACACAGGACTCCGCACTTCAATGCCTACTCTTTGGAATTGAGGGAAAGGGATCATCTATGTAATCCCTTTTTCTCAGCGGGTCACCCAGATGGTCGTCAACTCCATTTTCACTGCACATCTCCCACCTAAAGTCTATCAGAATAACGAATGAGTGAGGTAAGTCCTTTGAACTTCTGCCTCTTCCTTGTTCCTGATACGCTGGCTTGTAGAGCTGAGAGTCAGCAGTACGATGGCCCGATGTCAATGATGTAAACTGGATGACTGCCCCTCTGAGCGCACAGGGTCACTGTGTTCCGTGTGAACCCTGTGCTGTTTTTTCTGTGTTGTTGCTCTTTTCCATTTACTGCCAGACACCTGGGGACCTTGCTTTGGTCAGCCTTTCTGTACAGACCCTTTCCTCTACGGCAGTGCTTCTACCTCTTCTCCTTGGTTCTGATTGCAGGTCTGGTCTGCAAAGGCTCACCTCAGCTTCCACTGTTTCCCCAACTGGCATCTTCAGAACAAACCTTGTTCCTTGTCATTTCTAAGGAGAGGTTCCTGCTCAGTCCTTGATTTTTATCCCAAGGACCAAGCTTGTATCTGGAATGCGTAAGTGAATCATGACAAAAGGGCAGATTTTGGCTTTTCTTCAAGAAAATCTTCAGGAGAAATTACTGTACTTCTTCTCCTATACAGTTGGCTTGGTTTTGTTTTTTTTTTTTTTTTTAACTGTACTGTGAATTATGCAACTGTCCACGTTTTTTTGTTTTCGTTTTTGTTTTTGCATTGTCTGCTAAAACCAAAGCCATACTTTTTTATTTTATTTTTAAGCCTCGTTCATGGCTCAACTTTAGTCTTTCCCTGCTTAACTCTTAATTTAAGCTATCTTGTTGTATGACGTCTGTTCTAATAAGCTGCTTTACATTTTTTTCTGAAAATAGATAACATATAAATAAAATATGCCCATGCATTTTCTAATTGCTAAGTCAATAATTTGGTCCCATCTTATGTCTTCAAATCTGTGCCCCATCTGTTGTTTGTTTATATGTTTATTTATTGAGCAACTACTGTAGGCCAAGAACTAAGTTGGGTACTGAGAACTCAAAACTGTTGTATATTAAAATAATGTTTTCCAATTAATAAGATACATAGGATTACAAAATAAAATAGTTATAATGAACTGTAGTGACCAAACCCTTTTTCGAAATGTATAGAGTAATATATTTGTAGTTAATTGAGCAAATAAGATCTGATGCCAGTTGTTGTAACTACCATAATTTCAAAGTAGTGAGGTAGGTGAGCATTACTTGAAGACAGCAGCAACAACTGACATACAGAAGGGAAGAAGTCTTGGTTCTGGTGGTCACAGAGTGACAAGTACTCTGCAGTGTTGTGGTTCGTGGCTCGTGCTCATCATGAGAGGAAATGCTAAATTTCCATTAGAAGTCGATGCAAATGGAGAGGTTGTGTTTCCTCATGGAAGTTTGTGGACCACCTGGTAATCAAACTCCCAAGTCCAAGAACCCCAGATCAGAACCCCCGCACTGAAACCACATTCAGGTTCCACTCTTTCCAGAAAGGAGCTTTTTTCTACTTTTGGTCACATGGGACTTTGCCTTCTCTGAGCCACAGCTGAGGACTGCACAGTTTCAGGACTCACGCCTCTAATCACTCCACGTCTGGATTTTTTTTCTACAAATAGAGAACCAAGTCCTTGGAGACAGAGACCACATCTGGTACTTCCTTTGCCCCCCCACCCCACATGCTGTGAGTCAGGCTTTCCCACTTTAGGCACCTGATCGATGATAGGATCACTCAGCCCTTGGGGAACCTTACAGCAGTTTCTTTGCCAAGAGACTCCCCCATTCAATCTCCTGCTTCTGAGTTGAGCTTGAGCCAAAAAGAATGCAGTTCAGTCATCTATCCCCTGAAAAAATGTCAAGAACATGTAAGTGACTTCACAGTCAAATAAGCCAGATAATGGCAGATCATTGGTATCAATATAGAGGAGTAGGGTTAAATATGTATTTGTCTAAAAAGTAGAAGAAAGGAAATGAATCATACTCCAGAAGGGGACAAGGACACTGAAGCTGAGGGTCACAAGGGCTATTGTCTCAGGCTCTTTGGCCTCCAGCCTCCGCTTGCTTAATTGGTGAGGGGCTCCCTCTTCGTAGCCTAAGAAGTGAAACCTATTTGAATCTGACAGCCACACACAGAACCTGTCAACCCAAAGGTGACAGGAAGACTCGGGATAGCGGGACATGGCTTTGGGGCACACAGTGATCCTCAGCCACTTTACTACCTATGGCAGAGCTCCCTTCCCTCCCCTCTTAAAATTAGAAATAAAATTAAGTTTAGGACTCCTACTCTGCACTGCAAAAATATAGGGGGATATAGAAATTTGTGATGTAGGCCAGGCACAGTGGCTCATGCTTGTAATCTCAGCACTTTGGGAGGCCAAGGCGGGTGGATCACCTGAGGTTGAGAGTTTGAAACCAGACTGACCAACATGGAGAAACCATGTCTGGGCATGGTGGCGCATGCCTGTAATCCCAGCTACTTGGGAGGCTAAGGCAGGAGAATCGCTTGAACCTGGGAGGCGGAGGTTGTGGTAAGTCCAGATCACACCACTGCACTCCAGCCTGGGCGACAGAGACAGACTCCATCTAAAAAAAAAATTAAAAAGATGTAGTTTGTGTTCTCATGGCAGCTATAATTAACTCTAAGAAGAGGAGAGAGCACTCATGAAGCCACTGCAAATTTACAAGGCACCCTAAAAGTAGGAACTAAAATCTCCAGTGAGGACTAAGGAGCTGCTCTGGCTTTCAGAGGAGAGATGCATACTGGCCACAGGTCCTTAGTAACAGGTACTGATTAAAATCTCAGATATATAAAATGCTAGAATTTAGCATTTCAAAAATAATAGACTCCTCCGGGCACAGTGGCTCATGCCTGTAATTGCAACACTTTGGGAGGCCGAATCGCGCAGATCACTGAGGTTAGAAGTTCAAGACCAGCTTGGCCAAGATAGTGAAACCCCATCTCTACTAAAAATACAAAAGTTAACCAGGTGTGGTGGTATGCGCCTGTAATCCCAGCTACTTGGGAGGCTAAGGCAGAGAAATCACTTGAACCCAGGAGGCAGAGGTTGCAGTGAGCCAAGATTGCACCATCGCACTACAGCCTGGGCAACAAGAGCAAAACTCTGTCTCAAAAAATAAATAAATAAAATAATAATAAACTCAAAAAATGAAAATTTTACACCTGGCAGAAAAACACTATAAGCAAAGTAAAAGTCTTTACAACACATACTACAAACAAAAGACTAATTTCTCTAATATGGAAAGAGCTCCTAAAAATCAATAATAAGAAGACCAACAACCCAGTAGCCTAGTAGGCAAAGGATGTAAACATATTGTTCATAGAAAAGGAACTACAATGCTTTATAGTGGCAAAGATCAAAAAGTTTCACATACTATCTTGGCAAGAGTGTCAGGAAATGGGCTCTCTCATATACTGCTTGTAGGTCAAAGTACAATTAGTTTATGGAAGGCAATTTGGCAGTCATTCTGCATAGCTTTGATTCAGCCAATCCACTCCTACCTAGGTAGTTATAGCACGGTTACACTCACACATGCAAACTGACATGTGTGTATACAAAGACAGTTATTATATGATTTGTTTTAGGAAAAGACTGGAAACCACCTAAATGCCCATCGCTAGAGAACTGGTTAAATACATTATGATACATTCATACCATGTTGTTTTTAAAAAGAATGAATCTATTCTTTTTTGATATGAAACAGATTCCAGGTATATTATTAAAAGATGCAAAACACCTCACAGAGAGGCTACCATTGCTGGGGGACAAGGTAGAGAGGGGGACTGACTTTTCAATTGAATACTCTTTTGTCCCTTTTGAGTCCATTCATAAATGGATTCATTTATCATATACTCTTTTGCCCCATTTTAAATGTGTTCAGAATGTGTGAATTAAAAAAACACATATTTTATAACTCTGATAGTTTATAGTATTTTGTGTTTAGTACAGGAAAAGCACATCTGTTTTAATAAGAGCCCTGAGGATACTGAAAGCTGCTCCCGGGCTAATAGGGAATCTCAAGTAATTAGATCTAAATAGTAGCCCCTTCTTAAGAAATAGCAGGAAAACTATGAGAGATACGTTTTGTTATTTGCTTTTATTGTTGGTCGGTGGAATGATGGAGGAGGGTGGAGGGTTTACTGAACCAACTAGACAGGGAGAAACAGGGATTCAAGGAGTGGAGAGGCGGCAGAATCCATGTGGTTCCAGCTTGGGAATTCTGTTTTCTTTTCTTCTTTTTTCTTTTTTTTTTTTTTTTTTCTGTTTGAGACACAGTTTCACTCTGTTGCCCAGGCTGGGGTGCAGTGGCACATTCTTGGGCTCACTGCAACCTCTGCCTCCTGGGTTCAAGCGATTCTCCTGCCTCAGTCTCCCAAAGTATCTGGGACTACAGGCACCCGCCACCACACCTGGCTCATTTTTGTATTTTTAGTAGAGATGGGGTTTCACCATGTTGGCCAGGCTGGTCTCGAACTCCTGACCTCAAGTGATCCTCCAGCCTCAGCCTTTCAAAATGCTTGGATAACAGACCTGAGCCACGGTACCCCACTCTATTTTCAATTATGCAAAGAAAAGGACCAAGGAGAGGGTATGTGTAGCCAACCCCACCAAGGAAACAGTTTGTTTCTAAGTCACTGGAGAATCCATTGAAAGAGTTCTAAGGGCCAGGAGGTGGGGTGGGGGGAGTCCTATAAGGATACCCGTTAATGACCTGTGAAAGATCTGGAACCTTGTGATGCATCCAGCAAAGCTCTGGAGTTTCCTCTCTGGAGGTCTGTTCCCATTTCTCCAGAGACAAGGCTGCATCACAAGGTTCCAGATCTTTCACAGGTCCTGTTTTTCTGTAGATGTAGGTAACTTTTATTTAATTCGTGTTCTTTCAAAGAATTGTTTTATTTGGCATGTAGCAGGGTGTTAGGATGTTCAGGTATGGAAGATTTTATTAAATTGTTGAAGTTTTTATTCACTGCATTGAGAGAAGCCTTATAGAGTAACTTAACTTCCCACTGAGACTCCTGCAGTATTAGCATTGTAAACACTGGGACTAAGTGACTGACTGACATAAAACTGGATATGACGGTGTGTTAATTCCATTCAAATTTCAGTGGCTGCCCATACTATTTAGATTCCATCTGTAAACTGAATTACAGCAGGGGTCTTTTGGGGAGAGATTGGCTGCATGGTTTTTTTGGAATGTGGTTTTTTAGTTGTTATGTTTTGATTGCACTATAATTTACATAACATGAAATTCACTCATTAGGCGAAGTTTTGGTCTACAATGATTTTTGGTCAATTTATACAGACGTGTAACCATCACGCCAATACAGTTTTAAAAACACTTCCAGCCAGGCATCGTGGCTTACGCCTGTAATCACAGCACTTTGGGAGGCCAAAGCGGGCAGATCACTTGAGGTCAGGAGTTTGAAACCAGCTTGGCCAACATGGCAAAACCTCGTCTCTTTTGAAAATACAAAAAATTAGCCAGGTATGGTGGCAGGCGCCTGTAGTCCCAGCTACTTGGGAGGCTGAGGCAGAATTGCTTGAGCCTGGGCAGCAGAGGTTGCAGTGAGCCAAGATCACACCGCCATTGCACGCCAGCCTGGGCAACAGAGTAAGACTCCATCTTAAAATAAATAAATAAAAATTTTAAAAATAAAAATCAAACATAATGAGAAAGAAATTATTTAGAGTAAAAATGGAAAACAGACCATTCTCCTAAGAGGCAGCCACGGTTAACAGCTTCGTAACCAACCATCTTTGCAGAATTTTTTCACATATTTACAAACGTATTTTTTAATAGATTTTCAAGACTTTGTGTTCTCTAGATAAATAGGATCTTTTGTTTGCTCTGTAGCTTGCTTCTTTTTACTTCATAATATTTCATGGCTATCTTTCATGTCAGTATAAATAAGTCTGACTCACTTTTTTTAACCACTGAAACATAATCAAAGGAAAGGCTAAACTGTAGTTTATCAGGACGCAAATGTGAACATGCCACCATGCCTGGATAATTTTTTGTTTTGTTTTTGTAGAAACAGGGACTCTTCATGTTGTCTGAGCTGGTCTTGAATTCCTGGCCTTAAGCAATCCTCCTGCCTCAGCCTCCCAAGTAGCTGGGACTATTGGCATGCTCCACTTTTTAAAAGAATAGAGACAAGAGTCTTGCTATCTTGATATGTTGCCCAGGCTGGGCCACTGTCCATTTGCAAAGCATCCCAAAAAGAAACTCTGTGCCCATTAAACAATAAATCTCCATTATCTCCTCTCCCTTGTCCCTGGTAACCTCTATTCTACTTTCTGTCTCTGTGAATTTGCCTATTCTACATAGTTCATATAAGTGAAGTCATACAGTATTTGTCCTTTTGTATTTGGCTTATTTCACTTAGTATAGTATCTTCAAGCTTCATTCACATTGTATCATGTACCAGAATTTCATTTCCTTTTTTTTGTTTGTTTGTTTTTGAGACAGAGTCTCACTCTTGTTGCCCAGGCTGAAGTGCAGTGGTGCAATCTCAGCTCACTGCAACCTCTGCCTCCCAGGTTCAAGTGATTCTCCCACCTCAGACTCCCGAGTAGCTGAGATTACATGTGCCTGCCACCATGCTCGGCTAATTTTTGTATTTTTAGTAGAGATAGGGTTTCACCTTGTTGGCCAAGCTTGTCTCAAACTTGTGACCTCAAGTCATCTGCCCACTTCTGCTTCCCAAAGTGCTGGGATTACAAGTGTGAGCCACCACGCCCAGCCAGAATTCCATTCTCTTTTAAGGCTGAATAATGTTCTATTGTATGTATACAGCACATTTTATTTATCCATTCAGCTGTTGATGGACATCTGTGCTCTTTCTACCTTTTGGCTATTATGAATATTGTGCTGTAAACATTGTTGTACAAGTAGTGTTTGGATGCTTCTTTCTGTTTGTTTGGGTTTACATCTCGGAGTAGGATTGCTGGATCCTATTCCTTTTCTTTTTTTTTTTTTAAAGATGGGGTTTCACCATATTGGTCAGTCTGGTCTCAAACTCCTGACCTCAGGTGACTCCACCTCAGCCTCCCAAAGTGTTGGGATTACAGACGTGAGCCACTGCGCCTGGCTGCTGGATGCTATTCTATGTTTAACTTTTTAAAGAACTGACAAACTTTTCTACAGAGGCTGCATCATTTTACACCTAGCTGTGCACAAGGGTTCCAATTTCTCCACATCCTCACCAACACTGGTTATTACCTGTCTTTTAGATAAGAGCCCTTCTAGTAGGTGTGAAGTAGTTTCTGATTGTGGTTTTATATGTTTAAATTATTTAATCCATCTGTAATTTATATTTTTGGATAGCGTAAAGTTATTTTTTTGTTTTGACTTTTGTTCCCTAAGAGGCTAGGCATTTTTAACACTGTTTATAGTATTGAATTATTTCTTCCCCTGCTGATATAAAATGTTAGTTTTATATTTTAATATAAAATAAATATTTTATATTTTATATAAAATTTAATGTTTTATATTAAATTTATATACATATATAAGTCTGTTTCTAAATAAGTCTTTATTGACACTTTATCAACGTACCATACCATTTTAATTATTGCAGCTTTATAATAGGTTTTAATGTCTGGGAGAACAAGTGCTTTACTCAACATTGTTCATTTTCAGTTTCTTGGCAATATTTGAACATTGTGTCTTCCGACTTAACTTGAGAATTGGCTTGTATAAAGCTTCATTTAAAAATTCCTGTCATATTCTGCTTGGGATTGTACTGAACTTGCAGATCAGCTTGGGGATCCATTCTATTACACTGGTTTTTTTTAAATTATACTTTAAGTTCTGGGGTACATGTGTAGAATGTGCAGGTTACATAGATATGCATGAGCCATGGTGGTTTGCTGCATATATCACCCCATCATCTACATTAGGTGTTTCTCCTATTATGTAAACCATTTTTACTATCTATTTACTACCAATATGTAGTAATAAAAAAAAAAAGAGGATAATGGAATCAAAGTTGGGTTGTGAGGAAGCAGCAGCAGCTATGGAAAATATTTGAAGAAAGTTAGTTCTGAATTTAGAAGTAAAATGGGCTGGAGAGGCCAGGCACAGTAAGTGGCTCACGCCTGTAAACCCAGCACTTTGGGAGGTTGAGGTGAGTGGATCGTTTGAGCACAGGAGTTCAAGACCAGCCTAGGCAACATGGTGAAACCCTGTCTGTACAAAAAATATAAACATTAGCCAGGTGTGGTGATGCACACCTGTAGTCCCAGCTACTTGGGAAGCTAGGGCACAAAAATTGCCAGGAGGCGGAGGTTGCAGTGACCCGAGATTGCATCACTGCACTCCAGCCTAGGTGACAGAGTGAGACCCTGTCTCAAAAAAAAAAAAAAAAGACCCTTTAAGAAAGAGGGCTGAGGAAGTGGCGCAATAGAAATACTCCTTTCAGTTACCTGAACTGAAGTTTGTTGCATCTGATTAACAGAGAATGGCCTCAGTTTTTTAAGAATTTTTGTATTGTAGGATATAAATATATCTCACTACACACATACCTCTGTTTTTGTCTCAGTATGATGCTGTCCGAATAAACCAACTCTATGAACAAGCCAGGTGGGCCATTCTCTTAGAAGAAATTGATTGCACAGAGGAAGAAATGTTGATCTTTGCAGCTCTACAGGTATGGGAACTTCAGTACCTTTTCCCTGGAAGGTGACAAACCAAGTTTGTTCTGCTTAAAGTTTCATATGCTTCATACTAGTTTTTTTAATGTATTATTCTTTGAAGAAATAGCGAAAATAAGGGGAGCAATTTTTTTGTACTTTTTATTGTACTTTTTTTCTTGCTTTCTCCTTCAGACAAGAACAAATTTTTAATTTAAAATGCTCCTCATAATCCACACACGCTCACATCCTATATAAGACACTAGTCTTGCAATTATTATCTCTTCCCTACAGTAAGCACAATCAGTGATGAGAAAGAACTGCTTGTGAACATGACTAACCATGAACCTCAGAATTATCAGGTTAAAATATCATTTTCCCTGCATGGGAAGGAGACCTCCTTTCAGGAGATGTTCACTATTCCAAGGGAATAGTCCTCAAAGAAAAAAATGGCTAATGGCTTCATTTTATAATGTTTTGTAACATTTCTGTTTGTGACATTTCTAAAACCTCTGCTTTCATTTTAGTACCACATTAGCAAACTGTCATTGTCTGCTGAAGTACAGGATTTTACAAGCGAGTCCGAGGTTGATGAAATAGAAGCAGCGCTTTCTAATTTGGAAGTAACCCTAGAAGGTGGAAAAGCAGACAGCCCTTTGGTATGCACTTTTTCTGATCACCCAGAATTGTGGCTTTCTTCTAACTGATTGACAAGTATAAATGAACCTTTATTTATTAGAAGTAAGAGAATATGTCATCTGATTTTGAAAAAAAAAAAAAAAAAAAAAGATGCTCTTCACCTAACAAGCTTCAACCTAGCAAGAACTAACTAACTTTTCTCAGCTTAGCTCTGTAACGGACTATATTTTCATTTCTACTAATGACAATACTTTTGTGTTCTTCCTAGGGATAAGTTGGCACAGTAGGGAGCCACTGCTGAGGGCTCCACTTCACTAGCATGGAATGTGGAATTGGTCCCTCAACTTAAGTCTAGAAAATACCATCCTGTCTATTGCACGGGGCAGCTGCGAGACTAGAATAGAGAAAATTGTTTCTTTTTTTCTGAAACAAGCTGAAGTGCAGTGGTGTAATCAAGGCTCACTGCAGCCTCAGCCTCCTGGGCTCAAGCAGTCCTCCCATCTCAGCCTCCTGAGCAGCTGGGACTACAGGCACACACCACTGTGCCTGGCCAATTGTTGTATTTTTTGTAGAGACAATGTTGTGTCATGTTGCCAGGCTGGTCTCTAAATCCAGGGCTCAAGTGACTCTCCCACCTCAGCCTCCCAAAGTGTTGGGATTACAGGCATGAGCCACTGTGACCGGCCAAGAAAATTCTTTACAGATAAAAACCTTATTTCTATTTACTTTGTCATCCATTTCAACTAGACAAGCTTGACAGAAGTCGTGGCCTTTTTTCCGGGACATTGTAAAAAGTTTCTGAATGCTTTTGACTTCAGGAGATAAACAAAAACCCTCCAATAAAACATAAAGAAATGAAATGATTTTGTCATATCTTGCTCCTTACCCATGAAAGGTGAATGTCAGCTTTATAACTGAAATGTCCCTCCTATTTAATTCACTCCTGAGGTGCCACCCTTTTGTTTAACATTGGTCATGAGGATAATTATTAATCATATTGAATCAGAGAGGTGGGTCCACCATATTGGATGTAAACAGTAATTGTGGATTAGAATGAGTTACTCCATTCTTCTGCATTCAGTGTGTTCTCTTATCGTTAAATGTCCTAAAATAAGAAATTGGTCTCCTTCAGGAGCAAATACTTAATGCAAGCTAAATGCCAAGATTCTATAGAGATGCAGGGCCTTGTCTCATGTTCATAAAACACGTAAGCCCCATGAACTTGGAGTTCTCTGTTGTCTACTTTCTCCGCTGAATAAATATAACAGGCATGTAATTCTTCTTAGAACAAATAAAAAGTTATTTTCTTCCTCCCTTAATATTTTTATGTGACTCTAACAATAGGCTTTTCAGTTGGAAAATGTAGGTACCAACCTACATTGCAGAATGAACTTCGAACCAGGTTCACTTTGAGAGTTTAATCAGTGACCTGGGTGTAGCAGAAGCTCCCCACTCTAATGTAAAAATTATAAAATCTTTTGTTTGCATATAAAAGTATTCATTTCTAATTCAGATTTTTAACTTGAAGGACAGTTACAGGGAGTACTTGATCCCTTTTTTTATTTTTTTCATCTCTTGTTTTTCATTTTTGTCTTCTATGACACAAACAGAAAAGTGAAAAATACATACGTGTACAGCTTAACAAGTTAGTATTAAATTGTCACTCAAGTCACCACCGAAATCAAGAAATAGAACTTTGCCAGCCACCTCGGGGACCTCAATAGGTCCTCGTTCTTTTTCTGACCCTCCTATTCCCACGCCCGGCTAACTATTGGAAATATGGCCAGTGTAACTGAAGAACTGAGTTTTTCATTTAATTTAATTTGAATTAATTCATTAAATAGCCACTTGCAGCAAGTGACTGCCCGATTGGACAGTCCAGGCTGAATGTCAGCATCACTTACAAAGTTCCTGCTTTTGAAACGTTATCTGTTTTTTCTTAGGAGGACATTACTGATATCCCTACACTTGCAGATAATCTCAAATTATTTAGGTAAGTAACCTTTAATGGGGAAAAGGAGTTACTCGTAACAAAGCCTTGAAGATAAAGAGTGCAGGAGTTTAAATTGTATGTCCCTGAGGCAGGTTCATGGTTCAACGGTGAAAGTGTGGGCTTTGCCATCAGACAGACAGTGGGTTGAATCCTAGCTCTACCACACACACCAGTAGGTGACTTTGGGCAATATATTATGTCTCTGAGCCTCCATTTTCCAATCTATAAAATGAGAATATGCCTCCTCTTGGGTTTGTCAGGAGGATTCAATGAAATAATGCATATGAAGCATTAAGCATGATACCTGACTCATAGTACATGCTCAGTGAATGGCAGCATGAACCTGGCCATCATCAGTGATAATAAACACATCTGCCTTACTAAAGATTCTAAGAGGATCCATCTGGGAGGCTAAGTACTCTGATACCATTTGAAGGCTCTTTTATAGTTTAAAAGCCATTTCTCTCTAGAACTTTGATCCTCGGCTTACAGAGAGTAGTCACCTTAGTTTATCTACCTGTTTAAGTGCTTCTGATAAACTCCCCCATCACCTCAGGTCGACCTGAAACTGCTACAAAGGCAGAGAAGTTTTTTTCGTGGAAAAAATGGACTGCCGCCTCTGCGATGGTGCCAGGGTGTGTTAGGATGAAAGAAACAAGGCTCTTTGAATTCCTATCAGTTCCTTATTTCACTTTATGGTTTGTTGACTTTTCTTAACCAACTGGCACTTCACTGGGGCGGTGGCTTTAAAGGAAACATAAGCTGCTTTTGATAGCACAGGATGCAAAGAAAGACTTGGAAAGAATGAACAATGAAGCAGATATAAATGAAAAGCATCCAAAGGTAACAATATTTGTCACTAGGTTTCTACAGGTTTGGTTTTGGGTTTCTTTTACTGTGATTGTAGGATGTGGTCACAAACAATAGGGTCATTCTTTTTTTTTTTTTTTTGAGACAGAGTCTCACTCTGTCGCCCAGGCTGGAGTGCAATGGCATGATCTCAGCTCACCGTAACCTCCACCTCCCAGGAATGAGCTATTCTCCCGCCTAGCCTCTTGAGTAGTTGGGATTATAGGCACCCACCATCATGCCCAGCTAATTTTAGTATTTTTATAGAGAGGGAGTTTCATGCTGGCCAAGCTGGTTTTGAACTCCTGAACTCAGGTGATCCACACACTTTGGCCTCCCAAAGTGCTGGGATTATAGGCGTGAGCCACCACGCCCAGCCAGGGTCATTCATTTAACTTCCATGGCATAAATGGTTGTAACCACATTTCCCTCATTTTGTTATAGTCAGAGCGACAAAAAAAGTAACAATTTGAATCCACAAATACATCTTAATAAAGTATTCATAATTGTTCTACAAAAAAATGAGTTACCACATTCTCTGTAGAGGACAAATCCAGCCCTTCACAAACCAAATGGTGACTGTAGCCTTCCTGTAAAGGCTGTATCTTTATTATTCTCAAAATACTATTCATTTTGGAGAATCTGAGCATTAGAAAAACAACCTTCTAAATATGTTCCTTAGAACTGCCTGCGTGTGGAGGCTCACACCTTTAATACCAGAACTTTGGGAGGCCAAGGTAGGCGGATCGCTTGAGCTCAGGAGTTCGAGGCAAGTCTGGCCAACATGGTGAAACCCCAACTCTACTAAAAATACAAAACTTAGCTGGCCATGATGGGGCACACCTGTAATCCCAGCTACCCAGGAGGCTGAGGCACAAGGATCGCTTGAACCCGGGAGGCGGGTGCTGCAGTGAGCCAAGATCATGCCACTGCATTCTGGCCTGAGTGACAGAGCAAGACTCTATCTCAAAACAAACAAACAACAAACAAAAAACTTGTATTTATCTTGTCGAGGGCTATAGTTAAGATAGCTCTTTTTTTTTTTTTTAAGATGGAGTCTTGCTCTGTCATACAGACTGAAGTGCAGTCGCCTGATCTCAGCTTGCTGCAGCCTCCACCTCCCGGTTAAAGTGATCCTCTTGCCTCAGCCTCCTGGGGAGCTGGGATTACAGGTGTGCACCACCACAGCTGGCTAATTTTTGTAGTTTTAGTAGAGCCGGGGTTTCATCATGTTGGCCAGATTGGTCTCGAACTCCTGAGTTCAAGTGATCTGCCCATGATGGCCTCCCAAAGTGCTGGGATTACAGGCGTGAGCCACCGCACCCAGCAAATAAATACTACTTTAATACAGTGTTTTTTCTTAATCCTGGAAATGTTAACTTCATATAATGTTTTTCAAATTTATTTGTATAACTTGTATGTAATATTCTTCTATAATATTCTGGGGGGGTGGAATTCTTGGGTTTTTAATTTCATTTATTTATCTTTTAGAAACGAGGCCTCACTCTGTCACTTAGTGTGATCATAGCTCACTGCAGCCTCAACTGCCCAGACTTAAGCAATCCTCTCACGTAGCTGGGACTATAGACACACCACCATGCCTGGCTAGTTTTTCTTTTTTTGTAGAGGTGGGATCTTGCTATGTTGCCCAGGCTGGTCCTGAACTCCTGACCTCAGGCAGTTCTCTCACTTCAGCCTCCCAAAGTGCTGAGATTATGGCACCGTACCCAGCATATACCTTTTTTTAATGTCCACCTTTTCTCTTATCTTTTTGTAAAGGATAATACATTTTTAGCTAAGGAAAGACTAGTACTGACATGTTAAAAAAAACTGGCCTGAACTACATATGAATGGTGTTAACACCAAGGTTCCTTTCTTCTCCCATTCTTGATGCAGAATTCCACCCCTCTTGCATGAGATATTCTGATCATCCCCAAGGCTGGGATGCTTCCACAGAACCAGTACTAATAATTTCATTTCTCTACCTATCTCTGATCCCTGTCCTACCCACTAGCTCATTCTCAGGTTTCCTATTTTGAATGACCCAAACTTTAGGCTTACCATTGGCACCACCAACCTTGTGTAGTCCATGGTATAAGGTTTTCTGTCCCCAACAGATACCAGTACCACTGTTGGATATCTTCCCTCAGAATAGTTTTTAGTAACAGTAGAGTCTATATTGACCAGCTGTAGATTCGCTGATTTCCCTGGCTCACTGAGAATTCTCTTATAGTTTCTCTTAAAAGCCAAGAAGAAACTGCAGAAAATGCTGCTCATGTTTATATCTGACTTGTATGTCTGATAACTTGAAGCTTGGGCTGTCCATATCGACACCTTTTTCAAATGCAAGAAGTATGCCGAGATTCCAGATGTCACCAGATTCGCATAGGTTTCTCACATACACCATCACAATTTAGCACTTCAGTTGTGTCAGGCACTGTGATAAGCTCTTCATGTAAATGACCTCATTCTATCCTCACAAAAGCCCTGGGTTCCCAGATTACGGCTGTCCCCAGCACACAGAGGCAGTGCATGCAACCCAGCTGAGTACAGGATCTTTCCCAGGGCACGCATGCAGACAGTAGCAGAGCCAGTTGTGGCCCCAGGTGGAACCTTGGTATTAAAATCTACATCTCATATCAGCACTTCATGTCCAGTGTTTAGAAATTAGCAATTTGAAAATCGTTTTTGAAAAAATGAAGCGTGTTTTGTTTGACAGGGCATCTAGAGCATCTGATCTGCTTGAAATCTGCAGTATGTGCTACATTTCTGGATGGTGATTTAAATGTTTACTCTCCTTTAATTTGCAGGCCCAAGAAGTTACTACTAAAAGCTTTCAAACAGTATTGGTTTGTCTTTAAAGACACATCCATAGCCTATTTTAAAAATAAGGAACTTGAACAAGGAGAACCAGTAGAAAAACTAAATCTTAGAGGTAAGAGTACCCTACTTACATCTTGCTGTGGTTCATCATAAGTCAGGAAACAGGCCAGACGCAGTGGCTCAAACCTGTAATCCCGGCACTCTGGGAGGCCAAGGTAGGCAGATAAGCTGAGGTCAAGAGTTCAAGATCAGCCTGGCCAACATGGTGGAGCCCCGTCTCTACTGAAAATACAGAAATTAGCCAGGTATGGTGGCACACGCCTGTAGTCCCAGCTACTTGGGAGGATGAGGCAGGAGAATCACTTGAACCCAAGAGGCAGAGGTTGCAGTGAACTGAGATCACCCCACTGCTCTCCAGCCTGGGTGATAAAAAAGCCAGGTCGCAGATTAAAGGCAGGGTTCCTACACAACGAAGCAGTTTACTTCTAGAGGAACCACCATACCTGTGTCACTGTTTTTTTTCCAAATGACACCCTGGCTGCAGGTGCACTTCAGAGCATGGGCCTTGAATGTGGTCTAGTAAACATGTTTATTTGCATTCTGCTGTTCCGTCTTTCTCAGTGTGTCCAGAGTTTATTCATGTCCAAGAGTGTAGGATATTAGGTGCTGTAAGATCCTGAAAAGTTTTCTGTATTCCAGAACAGTTATACTTAATTCAGTGTTACTTTAATGCCTATTCTAATTTCTGAAGGTCACTGTGAGTGTCCTGATAACTATCGATTAATTGAAATATTTAATTAACCAGTACACGCAATTCTCATTATTGTGACAGATTTCCTTCTGCTTTGATTTATTTTAAAGTTCATAGTTATAATTTTTTCTGTGAGTTTGGAGAGCCAACATTAACCTGAAGATGAATTAAATTGACTTTTTGATTTAATAAAACCATAAAAGTATTTTTCTTTGTCTGTGTTAATTGTTCCTAAGTCTTATCTAGTTATCCATTAATTAATGTTATCAGCTTAGGCCTCCATTTTTCAAAACCAAATCTGAGGGGCTTATATTCAAAGTCTTTATTTTAGATACACACCTGATATTTATCTAACAGATGCTTCAGAACTCGGTTTTGTCCCTGATCTTTATGCTTCAGGCTGTGAAGTTGTGCCAGATGTAAACGTAGCAGGGAGAAAATTTGGAATCAAGTTACTAATTCCTGTGGCCGATGGTATGAATGAAATGTATTTGAGATGTGACCATGTGAGTAAAACCCCAAAACTGTTAAGTCGCTTCACCTTTACTAAGAGTAAGAACAAAACCTAAAAATGTTTTCACAGATTTAGAGCACTATTGTGTCAGTCAGCTATTGCTTTGTAACAGACAATCACAATGTAACAAAATCATAATGACATTCAACCATAACCATTCGCCATGCAGTGGCTCACACCTGTAATCCCAGCACTTTGGGAGGCCAAGGTGTGAGGATCACCTGAGGTCAGAAATTCGACACTAGCCTGGTCAACATGGTGAAACCCCGTCTCTACTAAAAATACAAAAATTAGCTAGATGTGATGGCGGGTGCCTGTAATCCCAGCTACTTGGGAGGCTGAGGCAGGAGAATCACTTGAACCCGGGATGTGGAGTTTGCAGTGAGCTGAGATAGTGCCAGTACACTCCAGCCTGGGTGGCAGAGCAAGACTCTGTCCCACCCAAAAAAATAAAAACAATAAACATTGTTTTCTGAAAGATGTGCTGAAAGGTAGTCTGGGGACTGGATGATCCAGGATGGTGTCAGCTAGTCATTTGGGTCTGGAGACACAGGTTTAGCTGGACTGTGCCTCTGATTAAGCTGATTTTATTTATTCTGGGTCCCAGAATGCCTGGGGGAGGTCTCCTCTTGGTGAAGGAAGAAGTGTGAGAGGGCACATGGCAATAGTGCAGCTCCTAAAGCTTAGGCTTAAAGTTGGCACATTGTTACTTCCACCCACATTCCATTGGCCAAAGCAGATGACATGACTCAGCTTGCAGTCAACGGATGGGAATTTCACTGTCCCTGGTGGGAGGAACTGTAAAGTTATATGGCGAAGGGTGTGGATGGGGGTAAGGGGGTATATTAGTCCATTCTCACATTGCTATAAAGAACTACCTGAGACTGGGAGAAAAAAGAGGTTTAATTGACTCCTAGTTCCACAGGCTGTACGGGAGGCATGGTTGGGGAGGCCTCAGGAAACTTACAATCTTAGTGGAAGGAGAAGGGGAAGCAAGCACATCTTCACATTGTGACAAGAGAGGGAGAGTGTGAAGGGGGAAGTGCCACACACTTTTAAATTATCAAATCTCATGAGAACTCACTCAGTATCAGGAGAACAGCAAGGGGTAAATCCGCCCCCATAATCCAATCACTTTCTACCAGATCCCTCCCCAGCACTGGGAATTACATTTCAACATGAGATTTGGGTGGGGACACAGAGCCAAACCATATCAGGGGCAGTGAATTCAATGTTCCTCACCCACTGTTGCCCCTCTTTAACTGCATCCCCTGTGCTTCTGAGGACCACTCCTGTTCACTCTCTGAAGTCAGAAATGAGCACACACATTAAACAACAATAGAAGCCATCACTGACTTGTTAAGGTCCCATAATGGCCATGATTGCTACCTTAGAGTCTTTACTAAGGATAGTCCAGGGTGCAAATAATATAGGAAATCGGCTAGTTTTTTTTCATCATTTTCTTTTCTCATAGAGATCAGATGTGATATAGAAATGGAAATATGTATCAAGGAAAGTGCTCTGATTGTTTGGGGTTTCACCTATCTGTGCCTCATGGCACTTCATTGTGTCCTTGGATCATCATTTTTTTTTTTTTTTTTTTTTTGAGACAGAATCTCCCTCTGTCACCCAGGCTGGAGTGCACTGGTGGAATCTTGGCTCACTGCAACCTTTGCCTCTTGGGTTCAAGCGATTCTCCTGCCTCAGCCTCCCAAGTAGCTGGGACTATGGGAGCCCGCCACCATGCCCAGCTAATTTTTCGTATTTTTTAGTAGAGACAAGGTTACTGTATTAGCCAGGATGGTCTTGATCTCCTGACCTCGTGATCCGCCTGTCTCAGCCTCCCAAAGTACTGGAATTGCAGGTGTGAGCTACTGTGCCCCACCTTTTTTTTTTTTGAGACCAAGTATTGTTCTGTCTCCTGGGCTCGAGTGCATTGGCACAATCTCAGCTCACTGCAACCTCCGCTTCCCAGGTTCAAAGGATTCTCCTGCCTCAGCCTCACAAGTAGCTGGGGTTACAGGCATCTGTCCCCATGCACAGCTAATTTTTGCATTTTTAGTAGAGACAGGGTTTCGCCATGTTGGCCAGGCTGGTCTCGAACTCCTGACCTCAAGCAATCCACCCGTCTCAGTCTCCCAAAGTCCTGGGATTATAGGCATGAACCACTGCACCTGGCCCTTGGATGGTCTTTAAATGCAAAATTCCCTGCAGGCAATTTATCAAAGTTGACATTCCTATCCTCTAGCTCCTTAGCATCTAGAAACTCAACACAGGACTCAAAAGCTACTGTCAGTTTTACATTAGGTGACGAGCAGCCACTCTGAATGTGTGCCACTTCACATCTTGCTGGGAAGGTGATGGTTTTGCACTGTAATGGGAAGAAAGCCCAACTCTCCCTCCTTGAGCAGCAGGGGGCTTTGCACTTGAGCTTGCTTCTCAGCCTTCTGGTGTTTGCTGCAGGAGAATCAATATGCCCAATGGATGGCTGCCTGCACGTTGGCATCGAAGGGCAAAACCATGGCAGACAGCTCCTACCAGCCAGAGGTCCTCAACATCCTTTCATTTCTGAGGATGAAAAACAGGAACTCTGCGTCTCAGCTGACTTCCAGTCTCGAAAACATGGATGTGAACCCAGAATGTTTTGTATCACCACGGTGTGCAAAAAAACACAAATCTAAACAGGTACTGTTAATCTTGTTAGGGCAGTTGTTTGCAGTAAATTCTTTATGCAAACAAAAATAAAAGGAAGATTTCTGGCTGGGCATGGTGGCTCATGCCTGTAATCCCAGCAATTTGGGAGGCCAAGTGGGTGGATCACTTGAGATCAGGAGCTCAAGACCAACCTGGCCAACATGGTGAAATCCCTTCTCTACTAAAAATACAAAAATTTGTCGGACGTGGTGGCGCACGCCTGTAATCCCAGCTACTTGGGAGGCTAAGGCCGGAGAATTGCTTGAGCCCAGAAGGTAGAGGCAGCAGTGAGCTGAGATTGAACCACTGCACTCCAACCTGGGCGACAGAGCAAGACTCTGTCTCAAAAAACAGGGGGGTGGGGAGTAATTCCATCTGATTAAGAGTATTATCATGAAAAAATCAGCTGATGGTGAAATTTGACTATGTCCTCAATATTAAATGATGTTATGAAATTATTAATTTTGTAAGAGGTGACTGTACTGCTGACTGAACATGTAGGTATTCCCAGATTGAACTTAATTATTTAGTTCTCACAAATTAATAATTAAAATTATGCTTCTATAGGAGTTGGTTAAAAGTTGTGCAGATGAGCTGATTCATGTAGAACCGTTGTCTGTGGACACTCCACGGACCTCAGAAAGAGAGACCCCAGAGCTCTCCAGTGCTGCCAACTTTAGAAGTTTATGTGTTGGGTGATCTTTTTCCTGCTTCTCCTGATGATTGTTGTATCTTGTAGAAAAAGAGCGGGCCAGGCGCGGTGGCTCACGCTTGTAATCCCAGCACTTTGGGAGGCTGAAGCAGGAGGATCACGGATTTTGAGACTAGCCTGGCCAACACAGTGAAACCCTATCTCTACTGAAAATACAAAAATTAGCCGGGCTTGGTGGTGCATGCCTGTAGTCCCAGCTACTCAGGAGGCTGAGGCAGGATAATCTCTTGAACCCGGAAGGCAGAGGTTGCAGTGAGCTAAGATAGCGACACTGCACTCCAGCCTGGGCAACAGAGTGAGATGCCATCTCAAAAAGGAAGGAAAGAAGGAAGGGAGGGAGGGAGGGAGGGAGGGAGGGAGGGAGGGAAAGAGGGAAGGAGGGAGAAAGAGACAGATAGAGAAAGAGAATGAATGGATGAGAACAGATTGTCTTTCTAGAGCTGCAGTCAGGCCTCGTGTGTACTGTTCTGACGGGGGATTGGGAGCTAACAGGATGATTACAGAGCAGCCGGTGCATGTGAGGAGAGGTTGATGTCTGTTTCTGCTCAGCTGGCTGCCCGGATCCTGGAGGCGCACCAGAACGTGGCCCAGATGCCCCTGGTCGAAGCCAAGCTGCGGTTCATCCAGGCGTGGCAGTCACTGCCTGAGTTCGGCCTCACCTACTACCTTGTCAGGTGATTACAGTGTTCACTTGCTTCTCACACTTTCCATTCAATTTTCAGTGGCTTTCTGGGAGCCCCAGTTTTCTCATTTAGCATAGAACATAGAACTCTGTTTATTTTAGAATACTGTCCTTTTACAAATAGCCCCGACACTTCGAGCTGCTCATAAACATTTTCCATACCTTCTGTTCTAAGTGCCAACACCCCAAAGCTCAGCTAACTGTGGGAAAGGAAATTTTAAAAGGAGGGTTCTTTTAGGATAACTACATTTGCAGAACCAGAGGGAAAACATCACATTTTGATTTTATGAAATCTGTAACTTCTTTTCTTTTTTTTTTTTTTTTTTTTTTTTTAAGAGATCAGGGGCCTCTCACTTTGTCGCCCAGGCTGGTCTCAAACTCCTGATCTCAAGCAATCCTCCCACCTCAGCCTCCCAAAGCACTGGGTTTACAGGTGTGAGCCCCCACACCTGGCTATGACTTTCTTTCATGTCAGCTTCCTCCCTTTTGCATCCCATACTGTGTCTCGTGGTGTGGCTTTGAAGGATTTTTAGGTTTTTAGAGAGGTCCCAGCAAGCCCTGCCTTATTTCTACCCAGCTTTCTCAGATAGCAGCCCTGTTCCCACTGGTCTCTGAAGATTTCTGGATCTGAAAGACACATAGGAGGCCCATCTATTGCCCCCAGGAAAATAGCTTAGGTGACTTGTCCAAGTTCACCTCCTAGTCCAGCGCACACCCTGGCATAAGCCCTGTGTCCTCATGTGTCATCCCTGCTCAGCGCTATGGCCCTGCCCCACTGTAAACAATGGATGGTTTCCCAAAACACGTCCACAGCTTGCTTGTAAATCAAATTACATTTTCAGTTCAGTAGAGAAGACTGATGCTTAAGCGAAATCTACACCCAGTCCTGCAGTACAGCAAGTACTCTCTGTCACTTTCTCATCTTATAATTTGGGGGTGGGAAAATTGGTTTGTATTTTTAAGTGTTGACAATTTTTGTTTTCTTGGCCCTTTCCAAAGACTCCATTTCTCCATTACTTCTAACAGGGGAGGCTATTCAGACTTTCTGGCCAGGCGCGGTGGCTCACGCTTGTAATCCTAGCACTTTGGGAGGCCAAAGTGGGTGGACTGCCTGAGCTCAGGAGTTCAAGACCACCCTGAGCAACATGGTGAAACCCCATCTCTACTAAAAATACAAAAAATTAGCTGGGTGTGCTGGTGCACACCTGTAGTCCCAGCTACTCAGGAGGCTGAGGCACTAGAATTACTTGAACCTGGGAGGCGGAGATTGCAGGGAGCTGAGATGATGCCACTGCACTCCAGCCTAGGCGACAGAGCGAGACTGTCTCTAAAACAAAAACAGATAACACTGAAATAGCTCATTTAACATCAGTCCCCAATGTTTGTCCCAAACAAGCAACTCCTTCTGTTTTACTTACCCCAGGAAAAGAGTGAGGAAAGGCAGGGTTGTGCTGGTTACCCACTATGTGCAAACGTGTCCATGTGCAGACACACACTCACCTGTAACCCTGCAGTCAACCCTGAATAGTAAAAAACACATGAACACTTCAACTGACCAGGCGCAGCTTTCAGTACCACCTCTGCCTCAGCTAGCTCTGTGGCCTGGGCATCTCTGCTGCCCTCCCCAAGCCGCAACTTCTGCGTGTGTTCAGTGGGCATTCCAAACCTACTGTGCTGAGAGAATCCAGTGCAACCTGCGAGCAAAGTGCCTGATACATGGTGACATGTGGTGCGGGCCTGAAGTTTCTGGTGTCAAAGACTCCTTTACTAGCTATTTCCCCCTGCACCTCCCTCTGTCTCTGACACCTGTTTATGGAGGTGAGGCTTTGAGGCGGCGGCCCCAGGTATGGTGAAGATCTACTTTTTCCAAGGTCAGTCAGAGTCAAAGCCTGGAGGAGCCTTGCTGTGTGTAGGGTGGCTGGTGGAATCGGGGTCTGCCCACACCTGAGAAACCTAGGTCTTTGTTTCAGCACTCCCTGGATGATGGAGAGCAGCCCAGAGAATTCCCATAGGTTAGAGAGAAGCAGGTGGAGTCAGAAGTGGGTTAACTTGTGATATTAAGCATTAAGGTGGTGAAACGAAGGAATAATGTGGAAATAATTCCAGAAAAGTGGAGTAGATTTTAATCAAGGGTGACATGCAGAAGGTAAGAATGATAGGCCAGGTGCAGTGGCTCATGCCTGTAATCTCAGCACTTTGGGAGGCCAAGGCAGGCAGATCACCTGAGGCCGGAAGAAACCCCGTCTCTACTAAAAATACAAAACTGGCTGAGCGTGGCGGTGCAGCCTGTAATCCCAGCTACCCAGGAGGTTGCAGTGAGCTGAGTTCGAGCCATTGCACTCCAGCCTGGGAAACAACAATGAAAGTCTATCTCAAAAAATAAAAAATAAGAAGATAATGATGTAAAAAGTGACTTACTCAACTAGGAACTTTTTTTTAAATTATGCTTTTCTGTCTCCTGCAGTGTCAGTTGTCACATCAGTATCCCCTCCTTTCATCCCCTCCAGTTGCTGTCCCCGTTCTCTGCCCCACTTCACAGCAGAACTTCTTCAATGTATTGTACCTACCCACTACCTCCAATTCCTTTCTTCCATTCTCTCTTGAATCCACTCATTAGGTTTTCTCTCCTCCGCATCCCACTGGCCCTGCTACTTTCTGTCATCAAGGTCACCTGTTGACCATCCATGACCTTCATTCGTGTTGTTGAGCCCACACATAGGTCAACCCTCTGTCCTTGCGCCAGCTGCCCTCTCAGCAGCATGTGACACGGTGAGTCACCCCATCCCCCTTGGCAACTTGCGTCACTTGCCTTCCAACACAGCTGACTTTCCTGGCTTTTTTCCTCCCTCACTGACCGGTGCTTTCGGTCTCCTTTGCTGGTTCCTTTTCATCTTTCCAATCTGTTAGAATACCGGAGTGTGCAGTCCTCAGTTTTTTGTTTTATTCTTTTTTTTTTTTTTAATTAGAGACAGGGTCTCACTCTGTCACAGTGGCACAATCATGGCTCACTGTAACCTCGAACTCCTGGGCTCACGTGATCCTCTCACCTCAGCCTTCCAAGTAGGTGGGACCGGCGAGCCACCACACCTAGCTGACTTTTTTTTTAGGAGATGGGCCCTCACTATGTTCCCCAGGCTGGTCTCAATCTCTTGGTCTCAAGTAATCCTCTTTCCTCGGCCTCCCAAAGTGCTGGGAGGGATTACAGGTGTGGACCACCACACCCAGCCAGGCCTCAGTTCTTAAAGCATTCCTCCTCTCCATCTCTACTCACTCTCTCAGGTTCAGCTGTTCTTTTGACTTCATTTATATGCCAGTTACTCTGAAATGTATACTTGAGCCCAGAACTCTCTCTTGAACTGAAGATTCATAGATTCAGTGACCCTTTGATATCTAAGGAGCATCTCATCTCAACATGTCCAAAATTCCTGATTTTCTCCCTGAACTTGCTCCCCGCTACATTCTTCTTTATCTCAGTAGAAGGCAACTCCTCCTGAACGTCTAGTTCAGGCCAAATCCTTTGGAGTCATTCTTTATTCTGCTCTTTCTCTTACACCAGCATCCTGCCCATAGGCAACTCCTAGTGACTCTACCGTCGAAGTACACAGAATCCGACCACTTCTTCTTCCCCCTCCTCCACCACCACCACCACAGTGCCTGTCCAGAGTGATCCTGCTTGGTCTTCCTGCCTCTACCCTGGTCCCCCTAAGTTTTTAACTTAGCAGCCAGAGGTATCCTTTTAAAATCTTAAATGAGATTTTGTGAAGCCTCTGCTCAAAACCAAATGGGAGGGGCATGGTGGCTCATGCCTGTAATCCCAGCACTTTGGGAAGCAAAGGTAGGAGGATTGCCTGAGTTCAGGAGTTCAAGACTAGCCTGCGCAGCATGACGAGACCCTGCCTCTACAACACACACACATACAGACACACACATACGTGTTTTTAAAAAAACATCTGAAGGATTTCTTATCTCATTCTGAGTAAAAACCAGATCCTTACAGTGGCCTACAAGACCTTTGTTCTTGAACTCGTATTTCTCTCCCCTCCTTCACTGCGTCAGCCACGTGGGCCTCCTGGCAGGTCCTTAAGCACATTAAAAAAAAAAAAAAAAAAGTAGCTGTGCCCTCTGCCTGGAATACTCTTTCCCCAGATATCCTCATGGCTTACATCTTAATGCATATCCTTTTTTTCTTTTTTTTTTTATCAAATGTCACCTTTTCACCGACCTTCCCTGACTTCCCTGTTTTAAATGGTAACCACCTCATTGCCAGTATTCCCTGTACCCCTCCAACTTTATTTTCTTTCATGATCTATCTGGCATACGTACTTCCTACTTATGATCTTCTCCCTCCTGTAGTCAGGAATTTTCCTTCCATTTAGCTCACTAATATATCCCCATGCCTAGAAGAGTGCCTGATACAGTAATAATTTTGAATGAATGTATTTGATTCCATCATATTTTACTTTTCTCTGATGTCAATTTCACTTAGAGACCATCTGCAGGATAGCCTTCATTCTTTTTGCATGCTGTTTATATCACAATAAAAATGCCCCCCAGCAGAAAGTTAATCTTCCATTGCCCATTCCTCCGAAATGATTTAGAAATACCAGTCGTATCCTGAAAAGTTATATGTAAATGAACATCATATTATAGGAAGCAGTTGCTTCTCTTAACTAATATTGTAATTATTTTCAGATTTAAAGGAAGCAAGAAAGATGAAATTCTGGGAGTTTCATATAACAGGTTGATTAAAATCGATGCCGCCACCGGGATTCCAATGACAACATGGAGATTCACAAATATCAAACAGTGGAATGTAAACTGGGAAACCCGGCAGGTAAAGTGAAAGTTTTTGGTGTTCAGCGTTGAGCCTATAAATGTGTGTTCCCTCAGAATTGCAGATTATTCTGATTTTTAAAAGGCGTTCTTCTATTTAGAGCTAAGAAACCACAAGCATGTGGTAATTGTCTGCTAAAATAATCATGCAATTCTGGGCAGCTTCCTAACAAGCACAGGCCAAATGCTCTTGCATTAGCACTGGAAGTTGGCTTAGTCTCCATGCAGACTTCCAATACAGACAGGTTCTAAAATTGCTAAGAGCAGTTTGATTAATTTCTATTGACTCAGCATTATATATAATGCTGATTATATAGGATTTAGGTTGATCATTACTTAGCAGAAACTACTGGAGCTGTAACTGCTATGCAAAATAAATCCAAAAAGGGTTCATCTAACTGGCTGCCAAGAAATCTGGTTGAGGACTCGAAGATTCAATTGCTCACCTGGAGAGTACTCCAGTCCCAAAAGGGAAAAACTGCCGAAGAAGCAAGTGAGGTGCATAGCATTGACTGAGAAAAGCTTCGCATTTTTTTTTTTTTTTTTTTTTTTTTTTTTGAGACGGGTCTCACTCTGTCACCCAGGCTGGAGTGCAGTGGCATGATCTCGGCTCACCACAACCTCCGCCTCCCAGCTTCCAACAGTTCTCCTACCTCAGCCTCCCAAGTAGCTGGGATTACAGGCGTGTGCCACCATGCCCAGCTGATTTTTCTATTTTTTGTAGAGATGGGGGTTTCATCACGTTGGTCAGGCTGGTCTCGAATTCCTGACCTCGTGATCCGCCTTCCTCGGCCTCCCAAAGTGCTGGGGTTACAGGTGTGAACCACCACGCCTGGCCAAGCTTCAGTTCTTAAAACCAGGAGCCCTCAAACCCTTAGCCTGTGTTACAGCCTGCCATCATCTCCCAATCCTAGAAGCTAAGTTCAGGCCAAGCCTGTATCATGGAAAATTCTAGATGAAATTAGAGGCACCTTAGCATCCTCCACTAATTTAAAACAGTCTATTCAGTGCTTTGGGATTCCGAGGTGGGAGGATCAGTTGAGGCCAGAAGTTCGAGACCAGCCTGGGCAACATAATGAGACCCTATCTCTACAGAAAATTTAAAAATAAATAAATAAATAAAGTCAAATTAGCCAGGTGTGATGGTGTACACCCCTGTAGTTTCAACTACTCAGCAGGAGAGGATCACTTGAGGCTCAAGGTTACAGAGAGCTATGATTGTGCCACTGCACTGCAGCTTGGGTAACAAAACGAGACCCTGTTTCATTCATTCTTGAATTAATAAAAACATCCTGATGTTGCTGATAAACAGTCAATCTTCCCTCACTCCTTTGGCATTCTCGTTTTCCAATAGAAAGTCATTGATGAAGAGGGATGACAAGAGGCCCACACATTTGTTAAGAACCCTGGCTTCCTCTCAGCAGTGCTGATAACCATCTGGGTGCTTATTTGTAAAATCAACTCAGAGATTAGATGACTTCTAAGGCTGTAGCTCTAAAGCCTTGATGCATATTAGGATCACCTGGAGAGCTTTAAAATACCACTGCCCAGACCACACCCAAGGCCAATTAAATCTGAATCTCTGGGAGTAGGAGCTAGGCATTAGTAATTTTTAAAGGTCCGCAGGTGATTTTAATGGGCAGCCAAGGTTGAGGAACAGCAAAATCTCTAAGTCTTTCTTCTAGAGCTTAGAGTTTATGACTTTCATCTAGGAAAGGGTTTGGGGCAGTGGCGGTAGGAAAATTCAAGCAGACCTTTTATTTTCCATTAAAGAGCCTGCAGGCTGGGTGCACTGGCTTGTACCTGTAATCCCATCACTGAGAGGCTGAGGCAGGTGGATCACTTGAGGTCAGGAGTTTGAGACCAGCCTGGCCAACATGGTGAAACTCTGTCTCTACTAAAAATACAAAAATTAGCCAGGTGTGGTGGTGAGCACATGTAATCTCAACTACTCAGGAGGCTGAGGCATGAGAATCACTTGAACCTGGGAGGTGGAGATTGCAGTGACCTGAGATCGTGTCACTGTACTCCAGCCTGGGTGACAGAGAGAGACTCCATCTCAAAAAATAAAATAAAATAGCACTCTGCCCCCTCAACACAGGGAGTGCTTGGGAAATCCTTATATTTAAACTACAAACAGAAAATGTGTTGGGAGTTTTTTTAACCAGATGTGCAGCAAAGTTGACACCACCAGAGCAAAGATGTTTTCTGAAAGTGTTTAATGGAAGTGACGGTTTTCTGTGCGTTTTAGGGGGATATCCATCTGTCATCCACCTCAGCAGCCCTCAGCTCCAGGGTCCAGTACAGCAAAGTGCCCCTTTCTCATCATTTGTCAGAGTTTAAGCTTCTCTATGCCTTCCTCTTCCAGGTGGTAATTGAGTTTGACCAAAACGTCTCTACTGCGTTCACCTGCCTGAGTGCAGATTGCAAGATTGTGCACGAGTACATTGGGGGCTACATTTTCTTGTCCACCCGCTCCAAGGACCAGAATGAAACACTTGATGAGGACTTGTTCCACAAATTGACCGGCGGTCAGGATTGAAGCAAGCACGTGCCTACTCGGCTCACACCAGCAAGGACAAACCAAAGGCGCCTCTCCCCAGAGGGATGGGATCCATGACTTGCTCAGCATGTAGATGCTGGACTAACAGACAATATACGTTCACCTCTGGTCACCTGGAGCCTCACCTTATTTCAAACCCACTGGGTTTTTTCCTTTTGGCACATCCCTTTCCTTTACCCTGTGCTACCAGGAAGGAGCCTCTCTTGTTTTTTCTATAAAACGGGTGTGCAGGAGAAAGGGAGGTGCCCTAAGATTGCTCTAAGGCCCAGCCTGTGGTTACAGATCTGTGACTTGCAGAACCTGCCAGGTGTATGGCTAGAAGTTGTCCTTGTGCTGATGTGTCTCATTACTAAGTCAGTGGAGAAGACAAAGGTAAAAATCATGTATCTGGTTTACATCATAAAGTACAATTCTCATTTTACAAACTCAGGTATGAAACGAAACACCTGTCCTTCATGGAGCTGATTTTAGCTCCTGTCTTTTCAAAATGGCTGAGGGAGTTCCTACACACACTTTTTCCCTGGAGGCCAAGTCTAGGGGTAGAAAGGGGAGGGGCAGGGCTACCAGGTAGCAGTTGACGACCAAAGGCCTGAGCAGTGGCCCTCAGTGTCATCTGTCCACAGAGCTATCTGCCAAGACGACCACTGACCCACATCTGGTCTTGGTTGTTGGTCTCAGGTTTCTCCTGCCACCTGCAAGCCCCATTCCGTTCCTACAGGTCTCTCGGCCATCTGTAAGTCCTTTGTGAAGACGTGGGTGACACGAGGGTACAGGAAAACCCATTCCTCAACCCAGATCCACGTCTCAACTGCTTCTACTCTGCGTTGGCGTTCAGGAAGACAGGCACAGTTCTCTCTAACCATAGAAACACCTCCCGGCATCAAGGATTCCAGTCAGGTCTCTATCCCAACTGATCAGGGAGAGAAGGGCAGACCTATTGTCAAAGACCACCATGTCCAAGCTCTGATGGCTCCCCACTGGCTGCCACCACAGGGGCTTTGGGCTGGTCTGGGTCATGGGGAAGCATCCCCCTTACTGCTGGTCAGATACCAAATCTCCTGGATTTGGCATCTATGTTGGTACAACTCCTGGCCTTTTCTCTAAAGGCCTTTGGCTTTTATAAATCACAAGCCAGTAATACATCCCCCCCCCCCCCCCCTGCCACCGCTCTGTTTTTTGCTGTGTCATCTCTGCCTTGAGACCGTGCTTGCCTTAAGAGAGTGAGCCAATTAACAGCTGCCTGAATTGTCATTTTCCATTTCGGTTTGTTAGAGGTGGGAAGGGTGGGTTTTGAGAAGGTTCAAAGCAATACCCAAAGTAAAGGGAAATATCAGACAAGATGTTATCATTTTTATAGATGTTCTCCTGCCACACAAAGAATTTGGGCTGCAAGGATAAGGCAAAGGCTCCAATCCTATTTCTCCTAGGATGCATTCTTCGAGAGCCTGGCCAGAGTTCCGAGGCCCGCGAGCGTCAGCTGTTGTTTTATTTCCCAACAAAGCCCTCTGACAAATGAGACCTCAGCAGTTCTGGGAGCCACGTAGAGACAGCCTTGGCGAGGGGACCCGAGGCCCTGAGCCAGCAGCTGCCATCTGGAAATTCTTCTTTTAGCCTCTCCTTAGAGGTGAATGTGAAAGAAGCCCCTCAGGCACCCGCTGAATTTCTGAGGCCTTGTTAAAGCTCGGAAGTGGCTTAGGCATTTGGGAAATGTGGTTTACATCATAAAGAACTTGAATTGAAATGTTTTCTATAGAAACAGGTGCTCGGTGTACTGTGTTATACTTGGTGTTGGTCATTTCTCAGTCCTGGGCTCTATCATTTTAGAACCTTGTCAGTTATTTAAGATTATAACTGGCCCTGCATTAAAATAATGTATCTTGATGTCAGATTTTACCTGTTTGCTGCTGAGAACATCTCTGCCTAATTCACCAAAGCTGGACCTTCAGTTCAACGCACTTCCTTGGCTTTTCGTGGTTGTCTAACATTTCCATGAAAACAAAGAAACTAACCGGTTTTGCCTTGAGAGAGTGAGCCAATTAGCTGTAACCAAACAAAGGAACAAACTTTGTTTGGTTACAGCATTCAGGGGAGCATTTTTTCTGTGACACACAGCAACATCCCAAAGAAATAAACAAGCATGACAAGAAAACCCTAAATGCTACCGTTCCAAAAAGCAACTTAACGTCTTTTTTATATTGGGTGCAAAAGGTCACCCAACTTCCTATGATGAAATTTTAAATTAATGGGTGCCTTTCGGCATCATTTGCTTCCTTATCTACACTAGAGTCAGAAATCTGCATTTTTTATTCTTTTATATGACTTGTAATTTAAAAATGTATATAGATTTGAGTATGGTCCTGTTGTGTTCTCTCCAACCTACTGTCTCCATAAAGGTGACTGTTTTCTCTATTAGAAATGTGTCTCTCCTCACAGCACCAAGATTCCAAGTCTTTTGCTCCCGTGGTATCAGGAGTGGCAGATCACGGGCAGGGGTCCTCAGAGAGCACCTTAGAAACCTCACTTAACCGCTGGATTCAACCCCTTTCTCACTGACTTGGTCACAAATTTTCTGGCATATCCTGCCTTATCGTGAGCTCTTTTGTCTCTTTCTAGGCCTATATTTAAAAAAAAAAAAAGGCAAAAAAATATCCAGCAGCAATACAGTAGCAGAAGCCTCTGATTCTGACGGCTGAATGTTGAGGGCACTTTGCTTTAGTGACATGCAGTTTATAGATACTCCTTTGTGCAATTCTCACATCAGCCCATAGGGGGTAGAAATAGCTTGCTTTGCAAAGGAGAAAGGCTCAGAGGGTGAACCTGCCCAAGGTCACACAGCCAATGAGCAGTGTTTGTAAACCAGCAAACCCAATACCCGTTACCCCAGCTCCAGAGCAGGCTTCCCCGAGCTCAGGCTCACACCAGTAAGAGAGAACCAGGGGCAGTAGGAATAGTTAGCTGCAGGAGGATAGGCTAGACCAAAAAGGTCTGGAAGCCAGAGAAATGAGGTGCCTAGAGAGTTATTTTGTTCTTTGGGTTTTTTTTTTAAATTCTGGGAAAGTTTCACTTTTAGTCCCAAGGTCAGAAAAGTAAGGAAATGAGAAGGCTTTAATTTGAAAACTCATCTTTTGATACAAGAAGTCAAGATATTTTGTAATACCTGTTTTCTAAAATCACTTAAAATTTTTTTTAATTCACAAAATTTCTTTTTTGGGGCTGGGCATAGTGGCTCGCCTTGTAATCCCAGCAGTTTGGGAGGTCAAGGCAGGAGGCTCACCCGATCCCTGGAGTTCAAGACCAGCTTCGGCAATGCAGTGAGACCCCATCTCTACAAAGGTTTTTCTAAATTAGCTGGGCATGGTGGCACACAGCTGTAGTCCCAGCTAGTTGGGAGGCTGAGATGAGAGGATCCCTTGAGCCCCAGGAGTTCAAGGTGGCAGTGAGCTATGATCATGCCATCACTCTCCAGCCTGGGTGACCCTTTCTCAAAAAAAAAAAAGAAAGAAAATTGGCTTCTACATTCAATATCTCTATATTTATTTTCATTATTTTCTCACACAAACGTGACTTTCCTGCCTCCTCCCCTTCCATCCCTGTCACCCAAGAATCTCTCAGTGGTAGAGGGAAGAGGGGAGCATTCCTCTTTATTATTTCACCCATCTTTCCTTCTCATGCCCTCTACATCCAAGGACTCTTGAGTCTAGGAAATCATAGCTGGAAAATCTGAAGGTCAGCCCTTGGCCCTCACTTGCATTAAAGTTTTTCCAATTCCTTGCACCTCAATGGAGTTGTGTGGAAATATTGAATGCTATCAGAGAGAGGGGGAAAAAAAAGCTGGTTTTTGTTCTGTCCTCACCAATGCCTCTGTAAGCCCTGAAGTTCAGCTGTCTATTCTTGGGATGGTAGGTTCTCAGACTTCTTCAGCAAGGAACTTTTCTTGCTATTAGGTTGGTGCAAAAGTAATTGCAGTTTTTGCCACTAAAAGTAGTAAGTGAAAGTAGGACCCTAATGAATTAAGCCACCCCTGAGCCCAGGGTTCCATGGAACCTAGTTTAGATGCCACTACACTGGATGGTTTAGAAAAAGCCATCCTGGGCCAGGCACGATGGCTCACACCTGTAATCCCAGCACTTTGGGAGGCCGAGGCAGGTGGATCACTTAAGATCAGGAGTTCAAGACCATCCTGGCCAACATGGAGAAACCCCAACTCTACTAAAAACACAAAAATTTGCCAGGTGTGGTGGTGCACACCTGTAATCCCAGCTACTCGGAAGGCTGAGGCAGGAGAATCACTTGAACCCAGGAGGTGGAGGTTACAATGAGCCAAGATCGTGCCATTGCACTCCAGCCTGGGCAAGAGTGAGACTCCATCTCAAAAAAGAAAGAAAGAAAGACATCCTGACATTTGCCCACCCATCTCATCAAGACTCAGTGATGGCTCACATCTGTAATCCCAGAATTTTGGGAAGCCAATGCAGGAGGATTGCTTGAGCCTAGGAGTTCAAGATCAGCCTGGGCAACAGCAAGACCCTGTCTCTATTTAAAATAATAGTAACAATTTTTTTAAAGGCTCAGTTATCTCAGAGGAGTCCCAATTTTTAAAAAACCTGAATAAGAATCCTCCTGACACCTGTGGGGAAGATTCTTTCCACTAAAAGGATTTACCTTCTTTCTCCAACTCACTGTGTGAGCTCCAAAAACACCCGTAAGCCCCCGTGTGCCTCACTGTCTTCAGTCACTACAGAGGAAAGATCCTATCACCACTTCTCCCTAGCCACTGCAAATGACAAACCCTGCATGAGAACTTAACAGGATAGTGTCTCTCTTCTCACCCCTGGAAGTTGGACGGTGAGGCCTCTGACTGCTCTGACATCCCTCAGATGCAAAACTGGACCCTGGGGAGAAGGCAGAGCCCTGTGTGAGAGGAGCAGAAGACCTGGAGGAAGGGAAGGCCCAACGCCCCAATCCCGTGTCCTCTGACTCAAGATTTCTGTTGATGGACATCAATGGGTATTTATGTCCCTCTGGTAACAGGGAGGGCAAATGAGGTTCAAAAATACAGACAGCTATGACTGCACCACTGCACTCCAGCCTGGGCAACAGAGCATGACCCTGTCTCTAAAAATCAAATTTTAAAATAAATACATAAACATATGTATTATATAAATAAAAAATACATATATATATAACTTTAAGGAAAGAGTAGGGCTTGCCACAAGGCCTGGGGTCAGGGCTCAGTGCATAGGCCCTATTGTGGTGATGAGTAGCTGGTTTGGGCCCAGCCCCTAGCTGGTAAGGGAGGCTATTGGAAGACAGCAAGGGCGTCTTCCAGGCAGTGCTACGGAGGTCGGGAGGCAGGAGTAATGGTGGGATATTCTGGGAACCCAGGAGGGTTAGGGATGAAAGTCTGACCAGGTACTTACAAAAGGGCCCTGGATCTCTGTGCTACCAACTGAACTTCCTGAAATGTCACTAAAGAACCAACATTGTTGGCAGCCAGTCCAGCCCATGTGACCCAGTGTTATTTAAAAAAAAAATGTAGCAGAATCACTGTTGCCTTTCTAGGAGTTACAGACATCCAACTTCAAAATAGAAATACCCTCATTGCTATTGAGGGTGAGATTCCAAGCATTAAACCCACATGGACTGCAACTCCAAGTGTGGTCCTTGGCCCAGCAGCATTTGTCAGAAAGGCAGAATCTCACAAGGCCAGGACTAGGGTGGCACAGTGAGGCGCCCTGGGCACAGCATTTAAGGAGACCCTTCCTGTCAGGGTTGTGCAGGTCACCTCCTCAGCTCACCCTACCTCTGAGGTCCGCCCAGACCATTCTGTGTCACAGTCTGACTTTTAACAAGACTCTCAGCGATATGCATGCCCAGAGAAGTTTAAGAAGCTTTGGCCTTAGAGTGTGGCATGGATTTGGCAGGGAGGATGCCAGACACCAGAGAAATTGTCAAGAAAGGGTGTAGATGTCATAAATTCTGCCAGCCAGTGCACTGAGTTAATGGTGTTTCCCAAAATTCACATCTAGACAGAACCTATGAATATGACCTATTTGAAAATAAGGTCTTTGCAGATGTAATCAAGTTAAGATGAGGTCATACTGGATTAGGGTGAGCCCTAAATTCAATATGACTGGTGTTCTTAAAAAATGGAAAAGAGAGGCTGGGTGGGGTGGCTCACGCCTGTAATTCCAGCACTTCGGGAAGCCGAGGTGGGCACATGACCTGAGATCAGGAGTTCGAGTCCAGCCTGGCCAACGTGATAAAACCCCATCTACTAAAAATACAAAAATTAGCCAGGTGTGGTGGTGGGTGCCTGTCATCCCAGCTACTGGCAGGATGCGGCAGGAGAATCATTTGAACGTGGCAGGCAGAGGTCGCAGTGAGCCAAGACCACGCCACTGCACTCCAGCCTGGGAGACAAGAGGAAAACTCCATCTCAAAAAAAAAAAAAAAAAGGAAAAGAGGCACAGAGGGGTAAAGGCCATGTGATGATGGAAACAGGCAGGGGTGAGGTAGGTGCAGGCCAAGGAGTCCCAAAGACGGCCAGCAAACACCAGAAGCCAGGAAGAGGCAAGGAAGGTTCCTCCCTGCGCTCTTCAGAAACAGCACGGCCCTGCTGCCATCTTGATTTAGGACTTCTAGGCTCCAGAACTGTGCGAGAATACATTTGTTGCAGCCACCAGGCTTACGGTAATTCGTTACAGCCGTTCTAGGAAAATAATGCAGCCAGAATCTTCCTATCTTATAAAATGGGGATGCTGCCTTTCCACTCTGTCACTGGAAGAAATATATGAGAGAATGATGCAAAAATGCTTTTAAAACCAAAATATGCAATACAAGTATAAAGTATTATTTTTAACAAGAACATAGTTTTAATTAGAAAAGTATTTCATCAGCTTATTTTCAAATAAGTGTGATGGTTTGTGTGACAGTTTGGACCATTGTTCAGCAAATATTGGCTCCCCTCTCCTCTCCCGCTGTGGGTAGCATATACTACCCGCCCACTTGATGTTGGGCTTGGCCGTTTACCTCCTTTGGCCAATGGGATGTTAGCGGGCATGTTAGCGGGTGAGAAGAGGCCTCCGCTGTGCTTTTGCAATTCGTTTGCACTCTTGCATCCACTGTGGGAACAGGATTCCCCAGGTCATCACCTGAGCCACTGAATGGAATCCATGCAACAGAGCTGAATGGAGTCCACAGCCTACGCCAAACCCAGCTAGATCAGCTGACCCACAGACAATTGGTGTGGGAATCAATTCTTGTTATTGTAAGCCACTGAGCTCTGGAGTAGTGTGTTAAGCAGCATCACTGGAACATCTGACTAGTGCAGGATGAGATATCCCCAAAACGTAGAATAAGAAACCTATTCCACTCTAGCAGTATCCTAAGACACAGCTGATAGCATTTCAGAGTGTGTCTTTCTCGTCTTTATACCATCCTGTCTCCTGGTTTTTGTTTTTGTGTTTTAATACGATATCTATTAAGCCATTCGAAATTCATGGAAATTGGCTAGGTGCAGTGGCTCACACCTGTAATCCCAGAACTTTGGGAGGCCAAGGCAGGTGGATTACCTGTGGTCAGGACTTCTAGACCAGCCTGGCCAACATGGAGAAACCCCATCTCTACAAAAAAT